CTGGGACCCCTCGCGTGCCCTTGCATTCAGTCGCGAATTCGCCTAATCTTTACAATAATTTCGCTTCTTCGCCTTTTAGTTCAGCTCGCCCGGTATATCTATTACACCTCCGGTGTCCTTTTATGAAACGGCTCTGGCACCGGTACGCCACGGGATGCCTCCACCGCGATCCGGGGTCAGTCGAGTCACGGATCTCGAGGATCACAGGGACGGACCCCTACCGGTACCGGTACTGGTATGGCAGAACCTTATGCACCCAAAGGCTTGTAGCTACGACTGTAGCTACTAGTAGTCTAGCTAAAGAACTGCGGCGTGTATGCTCTGATTTTTGCGATCTGGCTAGCAAAATTGCTCTCCCAGCCTGTTGACTGACTGAGAAGCGATCGACCCTTAGAAGAGTCCTGGCAAGCAGAAAGAACAATCGGTTCCAAACGATTGCATCGAATCGAATCACGAAATTGATGCACCATCAACTTTGGCTTGCTGAAAGTGCTGTGGCAGTAATTCTTGCTTATGCATCCTACTGCAAAGCAACTGTGCCATTCAAATTGCCAGTCAGATTCAAGCTTACAGCCAATGGCCAGCCCAAGCAACTGGCGCTACGGTACATACCTAATACTCCGAGTACAGAACTGCGGCCTACACACTCGCTGCTACTCTGATGAGAACTAGCCAGCTATGATAGCAAGGCGGAGATGTACATGAATGTGTCACGAGCCCTTGCCCCCTGAAATCATTCCGTTGCCGCGTTACAAGTTCCGTTCGAAAGATGACTTGGACCAAATGGCCAAAAAGTGAGCAGGTTGACATTATTTTTCTGGGGCTACCACTATGGGTGGAACAGTACTGACTGGCACTCCGGTGCAGATTCATTTGACATTTCCAAAATTGGTTTTGGCCAAACCAAAATCGGAAGCGGTCATTTCTGAAAGCAATGGTCATTTCACGAATCCTGCATTGAAAAGACTGGATCCCACAAAGAAAAGATTGAAGAAAATAAAATGAATATTACCACCATGGCAACAGTGTTGACCAAATGGCCATTAGCTTTACCAATACATTGATCTGATTGACTCTTTTCTAGGAGTAGCTCCCCAACACACTCACAGACACTCCCCTTGAAAAGAGTCAATCAACTCTAAGGTTTCCTATGGAGCCTCTATCAAAAATCAGGCTTGGATTCCATATTGTTGTCATTCTGCCATGGATTTCTCCATGGGAAAGGTGCTCCAGTCCTCACTCTCAGCACTCAATCTGCACTGCAGAGTCTGGTAGAGGAGTGGGTGGCTCTGCATGAAGACTGGAGCACCCATCCCAAAGAATCAAAGGAGAATTTTGATGGCCGCAAAAAAAGGAGCAATTCTCATGTTTATAGTCAATCAACTAATCAAATCAGTAGAGAAGCTTTCACTTGTTGTTCGTTGTTTGTGTAGTACCACTTGCTAGTAGAGGTTTCACAGCCGCTTCGTGGCTCCGTGGAGGCTCCGTGAGGCCCGAGACCGAATTGATCCGTCAAACGGAAGACGCTTGTTGCCATCGCTTGTTGTTATAGTAGTAGTAGTAGTCGCTTGTTGTTGCATTAGCCATAGCCGCTTGTTGTTGTTGTCGGTCGCTCCGTGGAAGAGGAGCCTGTCATGGTGGTGAGTAGTAGCCTTTGTTAAGAGGAGTAGCCGCTGTAAAGAGGAGGAAGCATCATCTTGATAGAGTCGAGTCAATAGAGTAAAGGTATGGAAATAATGAAAGAGGTGTACGACATGCGAGTGGCTTGGATCGATCGATCGATCCGAGCGAGTGATGTCAGTTGAGATTAAGGTTAAGGCTATATGTCCCTTAAGTCTTTTCACGGAACGTTCCAGGACATTCCGGTTCGCGTACCGGCAGCTGGCTTGCGTTTGCGTCAATAGCTTCGATACAGCCTGTACAACAGGGAATGCTCCCTTCAAGTTGTTAAATCCAAGCTGTCCCTCTTTTTAGAGATTTCTTTCGCTTGGATGAGAGATGAGAGCAAGTGAGGGAAATCCACAAAGCCTCGATGGCACTGGACCTAGCTATAGACTATCTCTTGTTACGAGAAAGATGAAGTCTCTATCATCATCCCTCTTCCTGTCGGCTCTGTTGTTGGAGCTGCCACCAACAGCAGCAGCCACAGCGACTGGAACTTGCGCAGGAATCGCAACGCCATGCGGCGATATCTACGGAAGCAGACTCTGTTCCGGAGACGACATGTGTGGGACCGTCTATCGAACGTGCCAAAACGTCTGTGAACGCCAGGGGGCATCGGGCTACAATTCGCCTTGTGCCTGCTTCGAGGAGCTCCAAACATGTAATGGTTCAGATTGTGACTACGAGGTATCCTGTTTCGGAGCCCCAGATTGCTCGACTTTGGCAAATCCGTTGGATTGTTTCGCTACCCGAGGCTGCAAATGGTATCCGAAGGGTAACACACCACCAATGTCGATGCCAAATCCACCGTCCACCATAATTGACACGGATCCCGAGCTGTTTTCACCGCGCTACATGGATGTGAGAACTTACTTGATTGAGCAAGGTATTTCCAGCGAGGAGGACCTTGACACCAATGGATCACCCCAAATGAGGGCACTGGTTTTTATTGCAGAGGAGGATAGCTTGGAACTAAGCGTCCCAACAGGAGGTTTAGACACTGTTGATGGGTATCAGTTCATGACAAGATATGTGCTGGTTACTCTTTTTTATGCAACCACTGGGCAGCTATGGACCTTTGGCCTGAACTTTTTGTCGGGTGCGTCCGTCTGCTTTTGGTATTCCGTCCTGCAGTATCCCGACCTCAGTACTGAACTGAGAGGTGTTTTCTGCGACCAGGAAACAGAAGAAGTTCGTGCGCTTTTCTTGAGTGAGTGAACCAAAAATTCTTGATCACTTTCCTGGCTGCATTCGAACTCATCATTATTTTTGATTGTGTACACTATCTTCGTTTGCATAATCAGACCAAAACAGCTTGGAAGGATTTCTTCCTTCTGAACTGGGGTTGCTGACTAGCTTAATCGGCATGGATTTTGATAGCAACATGTTACGCAGCACCATACCAGAATCATTTGAAGGTCTCACAGGTTTGGAGACGTTCTTTGCGTCGACGAATGAACTTTCTGGGGAGTTCCCAGCTTGGATTGGTTCGTGGCCAAATACTACGAATATCAACCTTGCTTTCAATTTTTTGCAAGGGTCGTTGCCCTCCACCATGGGTGATTTGCATGAGCTGGTAGGATTGGCCATTGACAACAACTTCTTGTCCGGAGGACTGGATGAAATATTTGACACCTCAGTCAACACAGGTTTGAGGAACCTTGAGCAGATTTATGCTGAAAACAACCAATTCACCGGCATTCTAGGTGAGAATTTCCTGAGGGCTGCTACCAATCTGCAATACCTTGATGTTTCAGATAATGAGTTTACAGGAGAGGTTTCCAGTCATCTCTTTGAATTTCCAGAGTTGCTGGTCCTTGACTTACACGACAATAACTTTGACAGTCTCCCATTGCAATTTCCACAAAACTCTGCCTTGGGGCTGTTGGCCTTACAGAAGTGTGACTTCAAGGACCAGCGAGTCCCCTCCTCCATTTCCAATCTGAGTGGCCTTCTTCACCTGGACTTGTCTCAGAACCAGTTTACAGGAGTTATCCCTGATGAAATTGGAGACATGTCAAGTTTAACATACCTTTTCTTGGCAGACAACGGCTTCCTTCCAGGTCCTATTCCCAGTTGGATAGGAGGCCTTGATTTGGAAGAGTTGTCCCTGAAGTCCAATTTGCGAACCGGGACCATTCCAAGCTTTCTGGGGGGGCTGAGCAACTTGGTCCTCTTAGACTTGGATAACAACTTTTTGGAGGGAGAGATCCCTGAGTCGCTAGGGTTATTAAATGACCTGCAAGTTCTTCTTTTAAACCGGAACAACCTGATCAGTACGATTCCTAATTCGCTAGCCCGGTTGAGAGAGCTCAGTAAGTGAAGTCACTGTACCGTGCTTCGCCATGGCAACGATTCGAGCTGCAACTCATATTGTTGAATATGCTGTATTCAGGAGTACTGTACTTGGAAGGGAACACTGAACTCACGGGAGACATCGGGCCCATACTATGTGACAATTTATGGCTTGAAAGTAATGTTCCGATCATCGTTGCGGACTGCAATCTTTGCGATCCACATCCCGGCTGCTGTTCCTTGTGCTGTGAACCCGGAGTGGAGTGCAACAACGGCACTTTTGTGCCTGACATGGACCCGATCTGGCAGCTGGGATACCACAGAGTGCACTTTGCTTTCAATCGAGACGACTTTTTGGACAAGGATCGCAACATCACGTCGTTTGAAGAAGTTGTGGTCGACACATCCAAGTCAGCGCCATGAAAAAACTGTAGCTAGCGTACATATCATAGACAGGAATTTAAACTCTGGTCCCATGATTTGTTCAACTAAAAGAGCCTAAGAATGCTCCAAAAATGGCAATTTGGAGGAGACAAACCCATTCGTGCGTGGAATGAAGTAATGTCGCATACGTCACAGCTTCAACCACCCCACCGGTTGCCGTTGCTTGTTGTTTGTTTGTTTGTTTGTTGTTGTGTCGCTGAGTAAGTCAGATGGAAGCCCTCTCCGAGAAAGCTCATTCGTTTGATCATTTTAAATTAAGGAGAGCAGGCATCGGGATTAGAGTGCGGCGATGCTCTCGGACTTGAGACGACAACGAACAATGATTCCAACTACGATGCGGCTGTTTCTTCTCGTCGCCGTTTTGTGGGAGCCTTCAGCGGCCTTTCATTCTCTCGGCGGAGTCGGGTATCCATTGCTGTCACCGTCGACACGAACAGCCAGCACTTCGACCTCACTGACAATGGTCTTGGATCGACTGTTTCCGTCCCTCCAATCAAAGTCAGACCAACAAACGATTCAAAGCAACGAGAACGGACGGGATCCCGAGTACCCGTGGTGCTTTACAGGACGTTTATGGTTCCGTCCCGCTCTGGTTCGAGTACAAGACAGCAACACACAAGCTCTGGAAGACTCAGGTATCATTTCGGTTCTCAACCTTTTCGGCTATACAGTGGGCGGCACGGTGGCCTTGGAATATGACACGTCTCCTGTTGGTCCCTACCGTGAATACGTCTCGATGGGTGCCTTGGTAGCTTGCGCCAAAGGCGGGATGATTGGACAGTGGGGATCAAGGCTGTACGTGAGCACCAAAACTGCCGAAGAAATTTGTCAGCAAGTATGGGCCGTGCCGGCTGAAGTGGCGGATATTCAATTCGCCGAAAATAGCCAATCCTTGAAGGTAGAATGTGCTCCGGATCCATTGGATTTATCCACGAATACCAAGAAAAAGATTGAAGTGACGGGTTGGTCCAACACGAGAGTTTCGGATCCAGATGCACCTGTTCGCGGGGGCCTTCCCATTTTGTGGACACCCACTATCAAGGCACTCTGGGTCAAATTGTTGCCTAGGTTTCTGGCGCCACTAGCGCAAGAAACGGAATTGGGAGGCCTAAACAGTGTACCCGTTCACAAACTGCGACTGTCCGCCAGCTCCCTCCGACTGCAATTTTGCGGCCAAGAACCATCGGATGTGCTTGGCATTCCGCTAGGGATTGGACTTTCCGTAGACAATGTCTTGATTGAAATTGGTCGAGAAGAGGGCGTGCTGTGAGTGCCCTACTGCGGTCAGTTTGGGCCCTGAACGAATCAGAGAAGCAAGATGGGGATTCCCTGGCTTATGTATCGGGTCTGAGAGCGTGCGCAATCGTTCCGCGAACCTGGTCCAATATTTACCGTAGCCGCTGGGGCTGGCTATGTCAGAGTTTGTGGGTAGGTGTTGGTGCGATCGGAACAACGATGCACGTGTGCTGCTTCGATCAAAGCCCGAACGTAGGTAGGCACCAGAATACTAAAATAAGTCCCCAAATCGACCGCCTTCGCTGCACCTGCGACGATGTATTTGAAGCCGATAAGAACCGGAGCTTGTCGTGGGGGCCGCGCCTAGGAAGAGGAAACGGAGATAATCATCGGAGACAACATGCATCTCCATTGACGAGGAAATCGAATTCTAAATATGCAATATGACTCTCTAAAACAATTAAAACTACCTCACGAGTTACTGTACCAAAAACATCGAACTAAATGCATTTCATGAACACGAACATCACCAAAGAAAAAAAGACGTATTGGCAGAGGCGTCCACCTAAAGATCCAAATCATCCATATCTTCATCCAAAACGGGGAATTCCATGTCATGCAATCCATGACTGTCCATGACGACATTGTTGTCACCGGTGGTATTTGTGGTATCGCCGCCCATGCCCTCGTCCATATGGGTCCAGGTGCCGGCAGCGTCATCTTCTTCCAACCCGGCAAATGGATTGCCATCTCCCACGGAAAAGGTACGAAGACGGTCCCTCAGTAGTTTCTTGGGATCCGCTAAGATACTGTGGAGGCAATCGCGTGCCTTGGCTCTTGCTTTGTCGAAGCTCACCACTTCCCACGGACCATTATCAAGCTTTTGCTCCATGAAGCGGCCTCCGTTCTGGTGCACCCGTTGGACCAATTCTTCTGCGAGTTTTCCCTTTTCCTTCTTTCTGGCTTTCATGTACTCACAAACCATTTCCAGAGCCATCTTTTGGAGCCGTTCATTACCGGTGTGTTCGTGCTTCTTTCCCCCACGGCCCAGAATGACATCGTCGGGACGAGGAGTCTGTGGAGGAGAGTACATGTGCCAATAGAAGGAATAATCGTACCCACGGAATGGAATGGTTAAACCTTGTTCTGACATTTCTCAGTCTAGCTGGGACCGGGCAGCACCAATAACAAAGATGCGCAATAGATATGTATATGAACAGCAATGACGCCTTGCCTTACACAAACGTTGTGAGACAGGTGGGCGAAGGACGATCGGGGGTTGTTGAAGGGCGGCTGCAACCAACATGTTGCTTGGTCTGCCGTGTTGCATGCTGGGTACCACTATACAAATTACAGTACCAATTGCATTAAATCCTTTATGGCCCGGCACGCTTGATTCTATAAAATATTTAAAGTATGGGTCTACTCGGAATGCTTTTGTTAATGCTTTGTCAGTGATAAAAGTAAGGCGAAGTTGCCCGACTGGAAGCGTCCCACAAAAAGACAAACTTCTCAGTGCGAGTCACGATGCCGAGCATGCCGGTACAGCTCCCAGCCGCGGCTGGTAGCTGTGGACCTACGGACCGTCATACAAACTGATCGTGGGAATCAATCCTCTTGTGAATACAGCTCCGTCTAAGCAACCCACCTATTGAAGCAGCAGATGCATTACCGGTGCTTGTCCGGCGCCTTGAATTCCGGAACCTTGATGACGTACCGTACTCACCTGCATGCCCAAGGGGTTCGGTGCGTGATGCTCGTTTTCGGGGAGGGCAAGCAAGTGCCACTGTCGAATAGATGAAACTCGATGGACACTGCTTCTGCCTTCTCATTGCGGGGTGAGATACTTGGCTTTCCTGCTGCAAGGAAGGCTCCAAGATCTGGAGCTATTTCCAGATAGATCGCTTCCTGGAAGGCATTCAGCAGCAAGCTTCGTGCGGGAGCTGCATCCGCTGTGGCAACTCGGTATGCCTTCTGTCCCAAGTGACCTGGTCTTCGTTTAGCACCGGGTCTTGCAAAGATCCCAGTACTGGCTGGCTGACATCTCCCCGTGCCCATAGTGGTGCTGTGTGAGATATCTGGCTGCTTCATACAAACAAAGAAACTACCGGTACCAGTGATGCAAAAGTATCTGAAGAAATTACGCCGGCAAGGGGCCATGTGCTGGGTTCTGGTCTTGAAAGACACCACTCGAGGGTCTCCTGCATGTTTGCATGACAGCTTACATAACAGTGGGTCCACGCCCGCCTTCTAAAGACTCTTTTTCCGCTCGCCGGGAATTGTATTGTTGTTGGTTCACCAGATAGGTGTCGGGCAATTGCCTGCCTCAATGGGACTGTTGGCATTATCCTTAAGTTGAGGTGGGCCTTGAAAGAGTATCTCGATAGATGATGAACAGGCTGGTAGTTGACCCTTTGCGGGATGCAACCACGTTGCCAGGTACTCCACAACCAGTTGGGGGATGCAACCGCGTTGCCAGGTACTCCACAACTATTAGTGATGCTGGTTGTGGAACGCCTCTGGCCGCAGATCTGGAATTTGATGGTGCTGTGTCCGTGTCCTCTTCAGCCCTGCCTGGGAGTGGGATCCGAAGTTAGGGAAGCGGGCAGGGACGGGTGAGGACCGCGAACAAACATGACGAAGAGCAGCGAACGTTGAGCCAATTCCAGTCTGATCTGGGAGTACGCTGGGGGGAAAGGTATTCCTTGGCCGCTCTACCTAGGCTGCTCCTCATCAAGGCTCTAGTAGTGTGTAGCTCCATCTTCCTCTGTGAAGCTGGGACAATGTATCGTGTCGTGATCACATCGTTGGGGTGCGGCCCATGGATGACAATTAAAAACCTCCATTTCACGACGGCTAGAACAGCTGCTCATATTTGCATTTTGTAGCTAGATTCAAGAGCAAGAGACGACTACCATGGGATTCGGAACTTTGCACACAAGTCTGGTAGTCAATGGTTTATTCTATAGTATTAGCTTCTGGGAGTGCCTTTGGGCGTGAAGAAGAAGTAATCCCGAATCTGATGGATGGGAGGTACATCCGGAATGGCGATGAGGTTAACGGAGGTGGGCTCGGAGCGAGAGGTAGGTTGTGTGAACATTCAATCCATTCTACTGTACAGTATCAAGCGGCGGGTGCCTTATTCTTGCGCTGCTTTCGGTTTTTCTTGGCTTGAATCTGTTCGCAAAAGATTTCCGCTCTAGAATCCAAGTCCATGCCTTTCATGACTTTGCAGAATGCTTCAATTTCTTCAAGATGAAGTTGCATCTCGGAGGGTGCAACAGTAGGAGGTGGTTGTCGTCGACGTCGACGACGGCGAGGTTTGGACTCTTTCTTGGGAGATTTGCAGCAATCTGCCTCGTGGGAAGGTCTGTGGTGACTGGCAGTGGAGCCGTCTGCCTCGAAGGATCGACGGCCATGACTGCTGGAGGTGCCGGTAGAGCGGTCTGCCTCGAAGGAACGTCGCTGACTTCTGGTACTGCTGTCGGGCTTCAAGGTCCCATCGCTGCCATCGCGCCTACTGCTGCCAGCGTCCAAATTACTGGTATCGCTTTGGTTGAGCCGTTCAAAGAATCCCAACATGATGATCGATGTGTGCTCTGTTTGAGTTTCTTGGTTCGAAGATTATGACTGAAGCAGGCTGACTAGACCTATAGCTAGCGCTTGTTTCTGGTGTGGAAGGGACAAAGGACGGTACCGGTAGTGTGGTGTATGTTGTAGTGGTTGGTGGTTTGACTATCGAGGTGACCACTCGCCCACCCAGCTTGGCTGCGAGGTAACTTTCTCTTCTGGCAGGCTTTAGGCTGCCCGGAAGGTCAGAGGATGCTTTGGACCTTGATGGAGGTGTTCCTGTGCCGAATTGCCTTTCTAAAGCTTTTCTATTAGTTCACTTTTACCCTCTCTATAAGATAACTCTAATCGGAGTGACGAGTCCTGTAAAAGGATCACCAACAACCACACATACTGTTGTTAAAATCTTACAAGCAGCTAAATCAAAGTATCTTTCATCTTTCATAATATCTCATAGCCACTGGCTAGCAGCTATGCATATTGTCACATACCCTACCACTAACCATGCCCTCAGACATTGAGGAGCCACCACCAAAGCCCAAGAAGGCAAAGGTGGCTGCAAAGCCAAAATATGTCAAACCAAAGATGTTGTGCTAGAGGAGGCACCCCAAGACAGTGATATGGAGGAGATGGATTTAGACAGTGATGTGGAAGATAATGGGTAATAGCTTCCCTCACTCCCCACATATTAGTAGTATTCTAAAGTTTCGGATTTGAGCCCTTGGTACTCATACCTTATCTTGTGGTTTGGGATATTAATAACTACTTTGCTTCTTAAGTCTGAGGTAGGCATATAGCTAGCTAGTTCTGCTCGCTAGTTAGGCTTTTGCAGTTTCGGTGTTGGTTCAGAGTTCAGGGCTGTTCCAGGTGGCAGGGTGGCAGGCTGTTGTGTACCGGTATTGCGAGCTCAAGGCTCACGGTGAGACAGCAAGATCGACGTGGAAACATCGAAAACGAATTATAACAAATTAAAAGGCCTAATGCGCGTAAAAAGGGTTCCTGTAAAATCTATTTATGCTCCACATCAGCTAGGGGGTATCACAGGCTAATAAGCTAGGTACGCAAGATTTAGTAATAGCCTTCGAACGAATGCCTCTGGCTTCGGCTTCGGGCACAGAGTCCTGATAAATACAGCTAGCATGTTAGCGTTCTCACCCTCACAACCCACAACCTCACCAGCTCCGTGCTCCGTGCCACAGCAACTCGCGGCTTGTGCCTCCCAGCCACCGGTACCTGGTACCGGTAGCCAGTACCGGTACCGCCCCCAGCTGTCTCCCCGGGTCGGGTGTGAATGAATCGAATCGAATCGAATCGAATCGAATCGATCAACAAGATCCAAAGTAAAGCTGATAGCCCCGTTTACTTGCCCTTTCCTTTCTCGTTTGATATGAACGGGGGTTTGATTGTTTGTTGAATTGGTTGAAGGCGGTCGACACCGACAACTCCACCTCGGATTGCCTGTAATTGACCTTCTCTCGCCCATAGACTTGCTGCCACCAGGCCTGTCCGGTTGAAGGAAACTTTGGTAGTACGGAGCTGCGTGTTTCTGCCGGCCCTTATCTCACCGAGGATTGATGCAATGACCTTGCTGGTAGTCGAGGCCTTCAATACTCTTAGATTGGCTCACTGGTTGAGTTGCGACCAGGTATGGCTCCAATCTAGCGGCACAGCTAGTTTGCTTTAGCAGTCAGAACACTTTAATAAATTTAAAAAACAGGGAAGCAACGGAGCCTCTGCCGCCATGCATCTGACTGCTTGGTTGTGGAGAGCAACCTGCGGGAAAATAAATGGAGCAATCTAAGAGTTTCATCGCCGTTCAATTTACGTAGTCTCCGTGCCAAAAGCTTGACCATGGAGTGTACCGTTAGAGATATCCATGGACAGGGCTACTAGAATGTTAGAAGTCAGTACGAAACCGTAAAGCTCTCACGGGTAAAACCAAAGTAGCTGTTCCTACGTACGATATTGCCCTGTTAGAGAAATTTTCATTCAGTAGAAGAAGACCTGCCCCTGCGGGCAGGCTGCGCCGAGGGGCAGGATAGTTAAAAGAAGAGAAGAGGAGGAGGGGGGAGGAAGGGGTTCTTAGCGATTGAGGCAATGCCCTTCTGGCTTTGGATACAAGCCACCCATCCGTGCTCCCTGCACTGCATAGCCCTTTTGCTTCATGAAAGAGGAGCCTGTCATCCTGCCATTGCGGAGCCTTCTTCAAAAGTCCTGAGTAGCCGCTGCTCTTGATAGATGTACTAGTTAGTAGAGTAAAGGTACCGATCGGGAAAAAATGATAGGAGCGGCTTCCATCCAGCCAATGCATCGACCATGTGTGTTGTCAATCCGTGCACTGATTACCACTAGGGCTTTTGCGCAACAATAATGAGTACTTCCGGTCAAGTTTGTGGATCAAGTGGGCAAAAACTACTACCTGTATATGTCAGTAGGGTAGCGCTACATGCATGCGAAGCATGGCATGAGATACCCAAGCAGCAATGAGGTAGAGTGCACAGGCAACTATAGGGCTAAGACTTGTGGTATTCTGCAATGAGCGTTTGGAACAGCACACTGGCATAGGCATCCCAACACGCCAATCCAGGAACGTATTTAAATGTCCGATAACGGCAGTGTGTCTTGTATATCTCAAGGAAGCGCTTGGTTGACATCAAATTGCCACCTAGAGACCTTTTGAGCTCCTGTAGTGTATATTCCATGTCGAAATAACTCCATCTCTCAGCCAGGATCAGCATAGTGCAAGCTACATACCCTAATTCAGCATCAGTGGGCTCTTCGGTGCCACCAGAGTCGATGGAATCAGATGACTTTGCTTGGGCGTATTCAGATAGTAGTACAAAGTGGCTACCACCATTCTCCAGGTAGTGAATCCCTTGGTAAACCTTGGTCATGAATGCTTCTTCTCTAAGCCTGTTTAATTCGTCTTCATCGTTATCGCAGCTGAACCTCTCCACATCACCAAAGACTTCACAGATGATGTGATAATCCAAGCATGGATTTGGTACAATTGTGGATGATGGTGCAATTGAGCCTTCTTTCGGCTCTGGTTATGACCTTGCTGTTGCATTGAAGCTGTTCATGCTGGAGTTTTAGCACTTTGCACCTAGTTTTGTGTCCTTCATTCCAGCTCTTTTTTTGACACTCAGCGCTGCAGTACCTTGCTGCATCACAGCCTGAGCATTTGAAAACATCCTTGTTGTCAACTGCACATTCCCAACATTGGAGTTGTATGAGGTCAAACCCACGAGCAACGCCGCTGCATGCAAAAGCAGCTGAAATTTCTTCGGCCTGGTAGTTGTCTGCTATTTGTTCCATATGTTCGGGCATTGGTATTTCAGTAGTAAAACCATCCAAATTGAAACAAATTTATCAAAAGTTGTTTGGTACATCGGTGAATTGTGCACAGGATGATGTCCAGTGATTTGGAGAATGTGGGGAGCCCATTTTTGAAGCAAACAATCATGTGCCTGCTGCAAGGCTTTTGCGACACAATCGTGTGTTGTTTTGAAACTGATAACCTCACTTTTATTCAATTCAATGTGCACATCATTTTGACTCTAACCAAATGCATCCATTAATTCCTTTGCAAGTTTCACAATGGCAATGCTAACTTGATGGTTTTGGACTTTATCAGAACTCTTCACCCCAAATGCCATCTTGGCAAATCCCGTAGCAGCCAAGCGATGCCAGATGGAAGCCTGTTGTGATGCATCTCCTAAAGCGTTGGAATACCGCTTATAGACAAGATTGGCAGCAACTCCCTCTGTGTCCACCGTGCCTTTCTTTGAGTTTCTGGATGGTTTCATCAGGAAGAAATCTATAAAGATTGCTGGCTTTGATCCGTGGGATCTTTGACTTAATTCCGTTGGTGGCCATGTTTTTTGGATTTCAGGAGGGTATCTATCTTGATAACTTCCCTACTCTCTACATGTAGCTCCAATCTCCAATCTTTGTTGGTGGAGAGTTGCGGTGGCACAAGCGTTCTCCACTCTCCGCTCACCGAAAAACCAGAAGAACAAGCAGCCGGAGGCTGATGCCCTCAACTGTCAAAAAGAGATTTGATTCCGGAATCAAATCCTTAACATCTTTGGTCAACTGGACACACTAGCACGTCTCAATAGCCAGCCAGTACAGGTCCAGAGTACTGTGTCCAACAGAACACACAATATCAATCCCTATCCTTAACAAGGAAAATGTCCCTTATGTCTTTGGCAAAACCTACACCGTGTTTATCTGGACACACTAGCGAGTCTGCATAGGCAGCCAGTACCGGTACCCATGTGTAGAAACTACTGTGTCCAACAGAACACACAATATTAATCCCTATCCTTAACGAAGCAAGTGTCCCTTATGTGACGAAAACAGCTGCAACAAACACACACACACACACACACACACATACAGCGATAAAAGTGTGAAAGACCCTCAGTCCGTTGAGGGCAAAAATATTGGAAATGGTTCCACCGGTACCGGTGTACCGGTACCGGGACACCGGCACCGCATATCGTATCTCAGTAAATTATATTTAGAATACTCACTTTTTGCTGGAAGGTCTTACCATTGATGAAAAAATGTCATTCACGCTGAAAAGTGATTAAAATTTTAAGTCGTGTTATCAATACCGTTTTCCTAGTCCCGGTTTTTCTAATCCCGTGATGAATCGGTGATGAAAATCTGGGTCACGGGTGATGAATTGGCGACGACCCGTGATGAAAAGTGTTGAAAAGTGTTGAAAATGTGATGAATGGTGATGAATGGTGATGAATCCGTGATGAATCCATGATGAAAGGGTGATGAATGGGTGATGGACAATACTGAAACAAAACTGAGTAGTCTTCAAGTTCTATTCATCAACTCATTGTCTACACTTTGTTAGTTGCTAGTAGTAAGGATCGAACAGCATGAATTTGTCGTGCTCCAAATGGTAGCAAACCACGGCACAACAAGCTTCGAATGCGACCTTGTGGTTGGCTACACCATGATGCCATTTCTTTGTCAAACAATCATAGCACTTCAATGATTCGTTGAAGGATTCGTGGCGTGCTAAAACTCTATCTTTCCACTCCTTGATCTCCTCTGGATCAAAAGGGTTTCGCATACTGATGAGTTCTCCCTCGCCAAGATAGCCCTTGTCTGCAATGATTCTCTTGCCTGGAACAAATCATGAAACTTTTTCTTAAGCTTCTTGCGAAACGTAGAAAGATCGTTGTACCTTCCTGGCGGGAGAGGCCCATAGACCCATGCAAGCTTTGGCTTGTCAATGCAAAGCAAAATCTCATAATTGAGACCGGGCTTGCCTCCAAACTTCCAAGCTGACCAAATAGTTGAAAAAGGTCTAGGTTCGGTCATGGGGCACATGGTGCAATCGAGAGAGAATGGCATCATGAGAGGGCTGTTGACATGATCCTCGAGCCTTCCTGTTTTCAAAATCAGAAGACTTTGAATTTTTCCTGCCCATCTCTTGGCAATCTTGCTCACGTGGCTTGCTTTTTTTAGGCCAAAGAATAGACCCAAATCCGTAAAGTCTTCACCCTTCCAAAGGAATCGAAGCCCAATCAAGAGGTTTCGAGGTTGCTTCTTGTCATGTTTCGTAAGACGGTAGCGAAAACTGACTTGGTTCGACATACAAAGATCTTTCCACATTTCCTGACAAACGACTGGCAATGCTCCATACACTTTGGAAAACCTTTCAATAGCACAATGTGGTTTGTATCTATCAGGCTTGCTGAATCCTGCTTTTTCGAGGCCCAATTCCAAAAACTGAGTCTCCGTAACCAAATCATTGTCATCGGTCATGGTGAGTGTTGAAAACATAGTGGTCGTGGGATGGTTATTGTAAAAAGCAAGAGCAAAGCAAGAAATGCGCCAAAATGACCAGAAAAGGATCTTGGCCATGACGTTTGCATTCCGATAGCCGGCTCTGTCGGTGTTCTAAGTACAGAAAGTAGTTGCTTGCTCTTGTATAAATGATATGAATAAATAATAAGTTTGAGTATTTAAAGGACACGTTAGGTGCCAACTCTCCACCTACCGGCCATGAATTTGAACCAACCTTTATCACAAAAATCTGACGCCAAAGAACATTTCCGGTCTGGATTCATGCATTTTGTTTGAAGCATTCATCCATCATGCCATCATTATCCGACGAAACCAAAGCAAAACTATTCAAGGACATCGAAGAAAACAAGTCGTCTACCTGTGACGATATTGTTAAGCTTCGTCCTGAGTTGTACGGCGGCCAGTTTCGGAGCCCAACGAGGAACAGGTACCACTATCTGCAGCGTATGAAAAAGGAGAAACCACAAGACTACTACAAGCAGTACGCAAGCACAGAACACACCACACGTTTCCGACCAACAAAAGAAGAAGCGCCCAACTAGAGTATTGGATCCTACTGAAGACAGTCCTTCAAAGCTGCAGTCTTTGTGGGGCACAGAAGCTGACACCGACACCGGCAAGTTTGGCGAAGAAGACGAGCCAACCAGGAGATTCAAGATCAACGTGTTACCCGTCAGCACAGCAAGAAAAGCAGACGAAGAAGAAGAAGTCACCGCAGCACAAGAAGAGATCCCCAAGTCGTCGCATCCCTCCACCAATCAAGCGTTCCACCAACAAGAAGATGACTGAACAAACTGGTCCAACTGGCACACCAGTCCGCAAGAACAAGCCGAAAATTCCGGTGGGTATGAAGTCTCCTGCTGCAGCCATCTCGTCCAATCTCTTCACAAGCTTTGATGATGCGTATGAGCAGACTGACTATCAGGTCTCATTGAACACCGACTATCCAGAGAGCCACGGTGAGGGTATCATTGCGCAAAAAATCCAAGACAGCATCTACGTATCAACACCTTCTGGCACTGCTGTTGCTCATAAGCTCAAGATCAACGTCATGAATCTGCTCGATTTGAATGATTATACCAATTTCAATGGCTGGTTAGTGTTGAATGGACAGGCCTTCCTTCTAACAAAGCCAACTGTGCCTCACTACTTTTTGAATCATCATGATGAAGTCTTTGCCGTGGAACAGAAACCTTGTGTGCCAACAAAGACATCTCATGCTTGTGGGCAACTGCTGTTGCTGGTGATCCTTCGAGGCACATCACGTCCATTCTTATTGATTTCCGCTCGCAGAACATTGCCTGTACCAGCGACATGATCAGTGCTCAGCCGATGGCTCCGACAAAAGACCAGAGAGTCCAATTCAGACTCCGAGAAGTCAGCGTCTCTACGAAGCAACCTGGTGGTGGTCCTCTCATGACACAGCTCCATATCCCTGGCTTCTTTGATCTCCGCGTTGTCGAAGAAAGGCCAAGAATGCTGAATGCAATGGAGGAAGAAGAACACACTCTTGCAAATGCTTTTGCTGGATGCAGCATCAAGAGAGTACCAGTTGTGCCGAGCAAACAGACAAGAGTCCAAGCTACTATGAACGGATACAGTGGCTTGGGAGCAAGCAGTGGCACTCAGCCCCCCCCGCAGCAGCAGCAGTTTGCTCAGCAGCAGCAGCAGCTTGCTCAACAGCAGCAGCTTGCTCAGCAGCTTGCTCAACAGCAGCAACAGCTTACGGAGCAGAAAGCTCGGCAGAGAGCTGAGCAGTTGAAGGTGAGTCTGTGGGTTGTTAGCTTTGGCCAGTGCTGGACAACAATGAGAAATGCATAAGAAGAGCTTCAAAGAGGTAAAGATGTGTGCGGGCTGATGCCTGCAGCACAATCTTTTTATGTTCTGTCTCCATCTGCCCACGCACTTCTTTATCTCTTTGGAGCTCTTCTTTTGCATTTCTCATTGTTGTCCACCACTGCTTAACCAATTGTATTCAAACTTTCAACTCACAGACTTGCTTCCTCCATACTCTCAGGCACAGCAACGTTTGAAACAACAGTACCGTCAAGAGCAAGAACAGCTGCAGCAGCAGATGCAGCAACAGTATCTCCAAGAGCAGCAGCAGATGCAGGAACAGATGAAGCAAGACATGTACAAGGCGATGCAAGAGGAACGCAATAGGATGCAGCAGCAGATGCAGCAGTGGATGACTGTTCAGCCTGGTGGATCTGAGGGTGGGGGCAGTGCCATTACTGGAAGCACTGCGACCTCCGTAATGAGAGGTGGCCCTCCTCAAACCAACACTACAAACGAGTTTATTGTTGTTGAGGCCCTCATCAGTGCCTCTTGGATCGTCTTCTTCTCAAGGCTCGAATGTCGATTTCGAATTCCATACACCCACGGCAGATGGAACAGCAGGAGCAGAAAGTGTGTACACTTTCCTCACGGATGACAACAACATCGAAAACGTCGAGAAGGAACGTCTCAAGCTGTTCAAGCCGACAGTGCATTCTGCCACTAGTGCTCGAGTCCAGTCTCGTGTAAACATGTCAAGCTTAAAGCGACAGGCAACAATTGATAAGAAGAGAGCTTTTGCAGCAAAGATGAATCAGAAAGTCGTCGATGATGCTGACTTGACACACACCAAAGGCGGTTCTGGTGACACGTTTACGAGAATCGATCAGCTCATTGATGATCTGAACAATGACATCAATCACAGCATCCACACTGTCAGCTCTGGAGCTTTTACTGATGAACAAGACGGGTTTTATGATAGCAGCACAGTCGAAGCCTGAACAACCAGCCAGACCAGTAGAGTATTGTGGTATTGGTGGCAACAAATAAGAAGAAGACAAGCAAAACAAACGAGGAAAATAGTATAACAGAAAAAATAAAAGTAGTAACAGTTTGGTTAATGTAAAAGCTGCAATCCTATCCTATGCCGCCGTATCTTTCATCTAGACAACTGCTGTAGTTTTCGTACGCTTAGGTTCATTGCCAACAACATCAAATTGAACATCAGGTGGAGGTTTGATCCTAAATCGCTTTTTTGACATGCGAACATCCACTTTGCCCCTTTTGTCAATCTCTTGATAAAGATGTTTGCGAAAAACTTTGAGATCGAACTCCTTGTAGCAGTGTCTCGACTGACGAAGCTTCTTGGCCGAGATTTTCTTTCCAGTATCACGGTCGATCACCAAATGTTTTCCAGTATCAACATCTTCTTTCAGCTTTTTCGGGCAGATTGTTCTGTGCCAAGGCCTCTGTGTTGTGGGTGCATTGTCCTCCCACCTTTGGTGGATGATTGCAATGTCATGACCGTATGCTTCACAGTCCACGGCCATCCTTTCAAAATCTGCAAGGATCGATTTAATCATGGTCTCCAAATACCCTGTAAAATTGCTGAGTGCGTACTGCTGATATTCAAGTCTGCTCGCATGGACATCACTTGGATCCATGGAATCATTGACTTTTCCAGAGATGACATCAGCTCTGAGCTGTTCTCTGGCTGGACTGTTCTTCCATTTTGGCGACTTGCTGTTGGGGTTGTTGCAAGAAGTTATCAATGACTTGGTGTTTCGGCTGAACTGCTGCCATGGCCACTGATTGTACTGTGGCATGCTGTCATAGAGCTCTCGAAGGTTCGTTTCGGCTGTGATGTTCTTGATCAAGATGTTGGCTCTGAGCATAGCTTTTGTCTTCGATTTCTTCCACTGAACACCCATGGCACACTCAACAAGACTGTCCGAGGCATCCACAGTGTTGTTGTTGGTGTTGTTGGTGTTTGTTGGTGTTGTTGGTGTTGTTGGTGTTGTTGGTGTTGCTGTTAGAAGCACCATCGGTCTCCATTTCATGTGTTGACATGGTGATGAATCCGTGATGAATTCGTGATGAATTGGAGTTGACCCGTGATGAATGGTGTTGAATGTGATGAATGGCGATGAATTGTGATGACGGGTGATGAATGGGTGATGAACAAAACTGAGTCCCGTGTTCAATTGGCGATCACTCCAAATTGCGGTTGAAACGCCAGCCCGGCAAAACAGCATGACGTCACTCAGCACGTGTTTTATTCTGATGAGTCGGCCCATGCGGGATTCATCAATGGTACCACCTTCCTGCAATTGATAAATACCCGACCAGTACCGTATGGTACCACCACGAAAACAAAAACAAAGATGAGAATGTCATTTTAGGGTTAAACGTTTCAAACGCGAGAAAATTTTGCTGCCAGGCCGGTCTCGAATTTACGAACTCACTCTTGCCAAAGGAATTAATTCAACAAAGCTACCCAACCAAGACCTGAGGGACAATGGTCATTGTCTTGTTTCCTGAAACAGGCAAGCACAACTCCTTTCATACAGTCGATAGAATCGCCCAACAAACAAACCAACAATTAACAATGAAGACGAGACGCAATATCTCCGTTGCAAGCAACAAGAAGAAGAAGCGGGAATCTCTCCCACAGAACAATCCACGCAAGCGACCGATGCTATTACCGGTAGCAGCAGCAGCTTCCGTTCTCTGGACGAGTTCAGTTTCGGCTCAGAGTTGTGATTTCAACAATGACAAGTGTCCCTATCAATTTGACGGAGAATGCGATGCGAATGTCTATTGTTCGGCCAATTCCGACTGTTTCGACTGCGATCCCTGCGCCGGATTCAATCTCGACTGTGGGCTCTGTACTGCAGCGGGATGCATGTGGTGTCCCTACGATGCCAGTTGTCTGTCCGCGGCCGTGGGAGAATCTGTTTGGGATTTGCATCCACAGCGACAACCGGGATGTCGCTCTGCCAGCGATTGGCAAGCCGATTGTACCGTCAATCCCGACAATGTCTTTACGGATCCTCTCTACTCGTCCATGCAATGGATTTTTTCGCTGATTCGAGTGGAAGAAGTATGGAGACAAGGGATTACCGGTGCGGGGATTCATGTTCGTGGTAAGTGTCCTGCAAATATGTATAGTGAAGAGGATTGGATTGAGTGACAACAATCTTCTTGCCAATCTTTCTCACTTCTTTCGCTGGCTCACATCTTTCCCAACTATTCTTCACACATACATGTAGTCAACGACGATGGCGTCGATGCTACCCATCCGGAATTTGTGGATCATTTTGATGTGGCCAATAGTTGCGAAATCTATCTACCGCGTGAAAACGTCGCCGACGACAATCACGGAACCGCCTGTGCCAGTATCATTGCCGGGGCCCAGGACAATGGAGTCTGTGCCGTGGGAATTGCACCCGATGCCACCCTCAGTGCCTGCAATGCCTTTGCCGATCCCAACTTTAGCGGATTGGAAGATGCCTCCAATCTCTTCATGACGCATTTAGAGGTCGTGGACATCATCAGCAATAGTTGGGGTAGGTTTTTGTTGTTGTTGCTCTGCTACAGTTTGGGGTCTTTGTCGACCAACCAACAAAACGAGTGCTCACACCTTGGTTTTTTGTCTTTTTTTCGAAATCCGCCTTCTCTACCGATTTATTCACACGACAATATATATATATATATATACACACACACACACAACTGTTCACTACATCGTTCGTTCCATTGCGCCAACACATCATACGCACATTCAACAGGTCCCACACCCTGTAAAAAAGTGGAAGTACAGCAACGACAATCTACTAGTACCGTTTGCCCCTTTCAAGTGGACACGCAAGATTCTCCCTGTGAACCCTGTGGAGGTGTCAACCAATTTGATAGCACCACGTGGGAATGCGAAGCAGGCATTACCAAATACTGCTCCAAATACTACGAATTGGATCCCATTGCCTGTGGAGAATACTTGGATTTGTACGTGACGTGTGACTTTCACACGTTGAGTCAAGGAAACGAAGAAGGATTCGCACAAATTATTGCACAAGGGCGTGGGGGCAAAGGACCCATCATTACCTTTGCCGGAGGAAATGACTATCGATTGGGAGTCGATGCCAATAGTGACGGTGGGTTGTGTTTGTTTATTTGTTTGTTTGTTTTGTTGTCTTTTTGGTTCTTTTTACCTAGATTGATGTTTTGGAGGCGCGGAACGGTGACTCACACTTTTGATTTGTGATTCTGAAACCCACAATCATCTGTACCTATTCACGCGGCAATACGCGCAACTACTGCTCATTACTTCAAATTGCAATACACATCATCAATCAATCGATCGAAAGGGATGGTCAATTCGAGGTATACGATTGGAGTTGGAGCGGTAGGCAAAGATGGAAAACATGCATCTTATTCGACGATAGGTTCGTAACCGATGCCAACATGCAGCAGCTGTGGATTCCAACAGGAACCACGACCACTCTCTAGCTTTCCGGTACCGTTGATGGCTAACTGTTTTTCTTCCGTGAACGTCGCCTCATTCAACAGGCGCCGCCGTTTTCATCGTTGCACCAGGAGGAGACTCTGAAGCATTGTCCAACAATATAGTGGCCAATCCGGGGGGTGGATGTCATGATATTACCATAGGAACCTCCTTTGCCACTCCTGTCGTCTCGGGGGTTGCCGCTCTCATTCTTCAGGCGAACCCAGAGTTGACCTACAGAGACGTGCAAGGAGTGATGCAACGCACAGCCCAACTAGTCGACCTAGATACGGATACGTCATGGGTTACCAATGGGGCAGGTAAGATCAGTCAGTGTTAGCGCTGTGTGCAGTTTGGATGATTTTCCATCTCATTCGATCGCCTTTATCAACTAACTAACTGTACAGGGATCAGCCATAGTTACAAATACGGTGAGACTGGTGTTGATGAATGAAGATTTGTGGTTTTCTGCATCTCCCCATGCCTCTTGCACTAACTGGCTCTCTCTCTCTCTCTTTCTCTGTTAGGCTTTGGCCTGATTGATGCCGCAGCAGCAGTAACCACAGCGCAAACTTGGGTGAATTGGGGTCCTGAAAAGCAAATTATGGTTGAGTCCGGAACCATTGACGTACCAATACCAGACAACACAGCCAGTCCAAATGGGGCCCTGGCTGTGCTTACGATAACTGAAGAAGATGTTATCGCAGCAGCAGGAGTGAACAACATTCAATTGGAGGCAGTAGTCTTGTATCTGGAATTGGTGCACGGGAGTAGAGGAGACGTCCAGGTCAGTGACCGCACCGTCTGCTTGCGCTTGCTAATTGTTGTGTGAACTAACTTTGTGCTTTTTTCATCGTGTTTATCGTGCCTTCAGGTCACCTTGACATCGCCTCAGGGCACACCGTCAATTTTGGCTCCAAGCAAACGACCAGAGAATACTATCTTTGATTCTACGCAGCGCTGGAAGCTAATGACACTGAGGTGAGTGATCCACAAGAGACACGCAGGCTTTCGCATAGCTTGGTGGAATCTCATTGCTCTTTCCCGCTGAACAAACAGATCATGGGGGGAGAACCCTGTTGGGACCTGGACTTTGGAAATTGCCGATGAAAAAGCAGGTTTGATCGAAGACTGTGTGGATAGGCTCTGGCAGGCAAATTCTGACGGCTTGTTTTGGGTTTGCGACGACTTTATCCCAATTACCGATTGCAGCAGCCCCACCCAAGTCGCACCCTCGCTCCAACTTATGGAGTTCATGGGACTCACCATATTCGATGCTTGTTGTGCCTGTGGTGGAGGTGTCGATGCTACAGCCCTTGATCAACGTTTGGTCAGCTGGAGAATGATTGCCTATGGCCACGAGCACCAGGCCACTCCTGAGACACCGCCTCCAACAGCGCCTCCGTCCTCTCAATCAACTGCCACCGCTACAACAACCCAAACACCGATAGCAAGCAACCAAAGTACTGCCATACCTCAAGGAAACCAAACCTTGATACCAGGGAATGGAACAGCAACACCAGCTACGCAGACACCAGCCACGCAAACACCAGCCACGCAAACACCAGCCACGCAAACACCATCGACAACCCAAACGGTGGTACCAGCAGTTCAGACAGTCTCGCCAGCACCGGTTCCAACGACACAAACTCCTGCAGTGAGTGGTCTGCCACCGGTCGACTCCGCCAGTTGTGCTTATCGCAGCGACACATGCCCTGTACACGTTCAGTTTGACCGCCAGTGCGACGAGGCCGCCCAAGGATGCCCCGATTGCTTCGACTGTGACCCGTGTCAAGCTTACAGCTATGACTGCGCAAACTGTGTGGCCAATGGCTGCGTTTGGTGTCCAGGAGATGCCATATGCTTGAGTGTCGCCTTGGATGCACAGTACTGGGCAACTTATAGCGGTCAGGTGATCTCGTCGTGCCCCGCCGCATCAGATTGGACAAACACATGTGTTAGAACACCTACCAATGTCTTTGCCGATCCGCTCTATGATGCCATGGCTTTGAGCTACAAGATGATAAAGGTGGAAGAAGTGTGGCGTCAGGGTGTGACTGGAGCTGGCGTACATGTCCGTGTCAATGACAAGACGGGCGTTGATGGCAATCACGCGGAACTCAGCACCAAATTTGACATTGCGAACTCCTGTACTGATTATCTTCCGACGACTGCTGCTGACGATCACGGCACCGGAGTAGCATCCATTATAGCAGCAGCCAACAACAACGAGTGCGCCGTCGGAATAGCCCCGGGTAAGTGCAGCAAGATTTGCATACGCCTTTGGCACCGACCTCCCTAACCAGGTTTCTTGCGACTGCAAAGGTGCCACTGTTTCAGCATGCAAAATCCCGGAGAATAATGATGCAGCCGAAGCGCAAGCGTTTTTGGAGAAGTTTCAAACCGTGGATATTTCGACCAACAGTTACGGTCCTGACACCTGCATAAACACTGTGACCTCAAGCAGAAATCTGCAGAATCTACCTTGTCCGTTCTCGCGGGACTACGATCTGTCACCTTGTGATATCTGCGGAGCAACCTTTGGCCAAACTTTAACCGACCAATGTTTGCAAGCAGTTGCTCAATATTGCGATCGCTATTTCGAAGTCGACCAGACCGCGTGCACTGACTACATGCACTTTTTTGTTACCTGTTCATACCACTTTCTGCCCACTGCAATACATGATGCCTGGACAAGAACGATCACAGAGGGAAGGTATGTTCCAAACAAAGCAATTCATGCATGCAGCGTTTGTTCAAGTTGTGTGAACCCTGATTCCTCGTCGCTACCATTTTTAGGAGTGGCAAGGGGATTGTTTACGTGGTGTCAGCAGGGTAGGTGTCCAGCTGTGTTCTATTGTTCTATTGTAGAGGACCTGGAAAGACGACGCTAACGTCAGATACTCCTTTGCAATAGAAACCTCTACAACCGCAGAGCGAATTCCAATGCCAACAGCATGGTGAACAGGTATGGTGATTGCAGTCGAGCAACGTTGGATTTGTTGGCGAAGGGTCCCTGTGTCTAACTCTGTCGTATGCCCCCCTCAGTCGGTTCACCATGGCAATTGGGGCGGTCGGGAAAGATGGCCTGCATGCCTCGTACAGCACAGCTGGGTCGTCAGTGTTTCTTAGCGCTCCGGGTGGTGACTTTGAGGATGTGTCGGGCAATATAGTTGCCAAACCAATGGGAGGTTGCCAGGATGTTTCAGTTGGCACAGATTTTGCGGCCCCCGTTGGTATGTAGCGTATTGATTTTGTGAAGTTGAATTATCGTCGATAGGCTCAACTTAGCCCATTTTGTGCTTATTGCAGTCTCTGGAGTCGTGGCATTGATGTTAAGTGTTGCGCCTGATTTGACATGGAGAGACGTTCAAGGGGTGTTGGCCAGTACTGCGCAGGTTGTGGATGCCACAGATGCATCATGGGCGATCAATGCGGCAGGTATTCGATTTTCCCACAAGTATGGTGAGTCTGTTATTATTGAGATGAACTGTACTCTTTCGGATTCTGAAAATATGCAGTCTAACATTGTCGCGTCTCCGCACAACACTTTTGCAGGCTTTGGCCTTGTCGACGCGGCCGCAGCAGTTGCATCGTCCCGCACATGGCAAAATTGGGGGAATGAAATAGAGATTGTGGGGGACACGGGAGAATTGAACACTGTCATTCAGGATCTCACTCAATTCGACGTTACGATGACCGTCAGCGATCCGCGTAATCTGAAAGTTGAAGGCGTCGAAGTCTTCTTGGATTTGCCGCATCATTCTCGGGGTGACCTTAGAATCACGCTGAGGAGTCCCGGCGGTACCGATTCTGTCTTGGCAGAAGAAAAGCGGCCCATCAATCAACAGTTTACTACTGAACAAAGGTGGAAGTTCTTGAGTTATGCTGCCTGGGGAGAGTCGCCCGTGGGCAACTGGGTTTTGACAATCGGTGATTTGCGTCCAGGCCTGTTGTCTACGTGCAGTGATCTGGCTTGGGGAGTGGAACAGAATGGTCAATCTTTTTCTTGCGATGCAATCAAGAATGCTGGTGTTACTGACTGTAGTACTCAGTTCGATCAGGCTATCATTATGGCCACCTTCGAGGGCCGAACTGCCGTTGACGCATGCTGCGTTTGCGGAGGAGGCCAGGAAGTTACGGAAGTCACCAATGTTTTGAATTCATGGCGTATGCTCATCTATGCACATGATGCTGATGTCACTCCTGCGCCGGTTGCTTTGCCTGTAACAGCTGTTCCAGCAGGCACCGGAGCGCCTGTAGTTACACAAGCACCAGTCCCAGCGAGACCGACGAATGCAGCGCCGGTGCCGTTGACAAGCGCAGTCGTAATGACTACCGCTCCCGGGATTACCAGACCATGGATTACCAATGGGGCCAGTGATGCCACAAGCGACGGACTTCCCACGGCAAGAGCAGAGCTTCAAAAAATGACATCTCTTCTGACATTGCTTGTCATGAGTCTGACAGCACCGTGCTTTTTGCTCGCGATGCTGTGAAGTGTGGAAAAATTGCAGTATGGGTTCTTAGAATGATTTTGTACTGGTACCGGGACGGGGATGGGCTATGGCTGCATGGATCGGCAGTTCCAAAGCATTCAACTACGGTTGGCCTCAAAGTGTTGGTTCACATTAATAAGTTTTGGCTGGCTGTTTCTTCTCTTGTATTCTACTGTAGCAGTAACGGTAGCCGCCACAGCATATTTGGCTTCTTTGGACAATGGCTGAACCTTACCGGTAGCTGAACAGCTGCTGAACCTTCTACCCGTACCTTTCCACAAAGCACAAGGAGAGGGGCGCCTGTCTGCGGATAAGTCCAATGATCAAGAAACTTACTACATGTGGGTTGCAGGAAATGCAGTCTTCCAGTTCTTCCACTTTTCCTTGTAATAGATTCGATTGATCTATTATCTACGCATACACATCTACCGGTATCCTACCGTATGCTTGCGAGATCCAAAGACTCGGAAGATTGAATACCGTATCAGTCACAGAGCAATTAGCTTCCAGTCATCACAGTCACAAAAGTAAGTGTTCCTCGATCTTGTTTCAGATTCGCAGTGCCCCCACGCCCCAGGCCCCACCGCCCCACCACCGCTCCATGCGCTTCGGCGAAGCAGCGGGCTGGATGGAAGAACAACGGCGACGAAGAGTTGCTAAAGGGCACCAGGATGTATCATAGAGTCGAGGTGACAGCGTAACAGCGGCGACTTTTACCACCCCACAACGAGACATCATGAATGTCAACAGGGATGCCGAAACAGTCCAAGACGCAGGAGAAGCAGAGGCAAGAGACGGCGACGCCATAGTCCCTCTGCTGTCGTATGTGTCCAGTCGAGTTACCCTAACCAACGAGGAACACCAGTGGGCTGTGGCCATCAAGAATGCCATTGTGCAAACCGGAGACTTCACCTTGACGGATTTCTGGTACGCTCAGCTGGCCATCATCGACAAGGATGACACTGAAGCAGCGCTGGAAAGGGCACACAAGATGCAACATTTTTTGCAGGAGAATGATATTGCTGATAATTTGGAAGAAGGGGGATTTGTTGTGACAGAGCTGGCAAAAATGCTTCCAGGGTATCTGTTGGGATGGAGCCAAACCCCTGATGGGCACCAGACCCTTGTTGTCGACTCTTCCAAACTCGACCTCAGGAAGATATCATCCCACAGCACGGGCATGCGGACATTTTTTGGTTCCATGTACTATCTTCACACTGCTCTGAATCCAGATTTCAAAGCTTTACGCCAAGGCACTGTTGTTATGTTGGAATGTGAAGGCATTTCGTGGCACACACATTTTGACCTAGACTTCATAAGGAAGTACTGGTCAGGGTTTGGTTCTGCGTATCCCATCCATTTCCATCAGTTCAAGCTATTTCACACAGGGGTATTCGTCAATATGGCAACTGCAGTGACACGGGAATTGCTGCCCAGATATCTCCGACGCAAAGTTGAATATGGATGTGTTTCGCCTTTGGGTAGACTTGATTGCCTTTACGCAGTGCCAGACTTGGAGGCTTCCACTGATAGGTTTTTGGCGAGATTTAAATGCACACTGCAGCTCCGGTATGCCAATGAGGCATCCTTCAAACTTATGTGAATGCCAACAGACAATTTGAGACAGAAGAACTGAGCAAACCCCAAATTGGAGTACATCTAAAATCCCTGAGGGACACCAGACCTTTGTTTGCTGGCTGGTCCAAGTTGGACCTTTGGGAGCTGTCAGAACACGGCAATGGCATGTGAACACTCCTTGCTTCCACCTCCAATGTTCACACTGCTTTGAATCTGCATTGCAAAGCTTTGTGTGGAGGCACTGCAATTTTGGCGGAATGAGAAGGCATTTCATGGCGCACACATTCTGGCCCAGATTTTGGGAGGAAGTACTGGTCAGAGTTTGGTTCTGCGTATCCCATAAGTTGCCGTATGTTCCGGATCTTTCACACAAGAGTTTTTCATCAACATGGCAGCTGCAGTGACACGGGAATGGATGTGAAGATACCTCCGACACAAACTTGAATATGGAAATATGGGTAGGCTTGATCACATTTCTGCCGCCTTGGAGACTCCCAAGTGAGGTTTTTATCTCGATTTGAGGCTTCGAGGCGACTCGGTTATGCCAATGAGGCCTCCTTCGAACTGCTATGAGCCCCGAAGCGATAGCGGGATGGCACACTGAGTGAGCACTCCAATCCTGGCCCACTTCATTAGAGCAATAAAAAGATAGTTTCACGGAGGATGTATTCTGTTTCAAAAAATGACAACATCAACACTATTATCCCAATACCATACCATACCATTCATTCTATTAGCCATTTTAGATCACTCTAAATTAGAAAAGCGCATCCTCCGTTTTGGACTTGCAACTGCTGCCAGAAGGCATTTTAAAATTAAAATCCTCCCGGTAACATTGGGAATGGATTGGAGCTGGCTGGAACTCTATATCCTCGGTATAGTGGCTAGGCCCGCCAAATCATTTTGCTGATCTTGTTCCCACTGCGTTCGATTGTGGTCCAATCCAATCCTCGTCTTCCACTCGTCCCGGAGTGCTTGCATTTTTTGGTAATATGCGGCATGAAAATCGCCCTGGGAAGCTGGATTGTAGGTGAGGAAGACGGCTCGTCGTGAAAATGGCGATTGGTTGGCGGCCGATCGATGAGGAGCCCAGTCACTAAAGGCTGCAATGGCGCCTCCTGGACAACCGATATCTTCAAAATCCATCGTTTCGGCAACGTCGCTCGGAATGGCCCCGGCTCGACCTCCGGCATCGGGATTGCCATCCTCTTCGGGTTCCACAACGGGACAATGCGATGCTTCACTCCATGCCCCCTTGCAAACTCGTAAGCATCCATTTTGACTTGTCATATTGTCGATAGCTACCATGACAGTCACAAACTTGGTGGGTCCTTCTTCCAATGCCACTCGCAAGGACGGTCCATCCAAATGAGGAGCAAAACCGCTTCCACCCGGGGGTTTCAAATTGAGTTTTTCCTTGAACAAGACCATTTCTTCTCCGAGCAAGGCAGAAATGACGCGCCTCAAATATCCATGACACAGAGATTTCCATCCGTCATGGTAGTCGACAAAGTTTTCCAAACGCGTCAGAGTCCGTCGTTCTTGAAGCTCGCCTTGTTTCCACACCTTGATGGTCTCGTACGTCTTGTCGGCTTGCACAGTGTTGCCTCCCCAAACCAACTCGTCCGTCATACGACGCATCAGTTCGGATGGAACATGGAGTGACGAAGGTACCACACAAATTCCCGTCGAATGGTATTCTGTAATTAGCTCTGTCCACGATACATTCTCGAATTCTCGTGCGTCCAATGCGAGCAGCTGATCTTGAGGATCGCTATTAGTGGCAACCTCTCGATCGTCATTCTCGTCGTCGTCTCCCTTGACGGCATCCAAGGAAGACAGACCCAACAGCTCTAGCAAGGCTTCATCGGCACTGTCCACTTCTTCGTTCTCATCAACAGGTGCTCCCATGGTTTCAGATGGATTGAAGGAAAAATAGGGTTGTGAATGCGGGCTGTGCAACGGCAAATTGGCAAATTGGTGGTGTTGGAGGGAGCACGAACCTTAATTAAGCTTGTGACATCAAAAAAGGCTTCTTTGGAAAAAATTGGTCACTTTTGACATTTTTGGTGATTTTGTTTCGCACAAACCCATTTCCAACCTTCCTTCTTCTTTCTCGGCATCCTACCTGTATCTCGGGCACACGTTTCGTCCATACAGGTAGACTGTGAGATCTTCACGCGATAAGTTCTTGAATCGATATCTTGTGGGCTACTCGAGAGCTACTTTCAGTGACCTACAACATCAGCTCATGTGGACTGGCCTGTGACTGTGCCTATGGTGCTAGAGCTAGAAGGCACACCAAGTTGGGCTTTGAAGCAGCATTACTAGTGTTATTGCTCTAAAGCTCACTTGGAGTGGATCAATTTGCATAAGCTTTTGATCCATAGAACCTCCATCTAAGGAGCAATCAATTTACAATAGGTTAGAGGGTGGGTAAGTGGGCTGCTTCTTCACGAAGATCGATTGATCCAAGAAAAGAACAAAAGTGAGGAATCGGGGCTGCAGAGGTGCATGCGCCCTTTTCGCGCGAAGCTTCACTACGTGATCTGGTCCAGGTCTTGGCTTCGAGCGACGCTCCCTTGAGCTTTGCCTCATTGGCGTCGACACTTCTACTATAGTACTTCTTTATGCTGCGCGACCACAATGGCGTCGAATGAAGCCAACCCTCCAGAAGGAGAGATCCCACAAGCTTCGGATCCCTTGATCCATTCTCCGGTGGCCCAGGCTGCAAGTCCCAACATTCTCGTAGGAATTGCTGCCATCTCTGTCACTGCCATTGTCTTGGTTGCAGTCGTGGTTCCCGTCTTGTTGTTGACCCGAGACGACAGCAGCAGCAATACTAGCAGCGAAAGCAATCTACAAGACGGTCTGATTCGCATCAACTATTCGGAAGTGCCTTCCTGGACCCCGTCATCCATCCCCTCCTTGGCACCATCGGCCAGACCATCCTCTTCCTCTCCACCGTCCTTGGTGCCATCAATGTCACCTTCTGCCAACCAAACAAATGACACTCTTCCATCGGATGATGTCTTTATAGACGACGACGATAGCAGTGTCCTGGTAGACGACTTTTTTGGATTTGGAGATGCCCTTGTCCCCGATGAGATCCGTACTACACCCATGGATCCGTATGTCAAGGCAGACTGTGACTTTTACGACAAGCTCCAGCCCCATGTGATAGCACAATGTCAGTGCGAAGGAGCCATTTCCATTTTGGCGGAAGACATTTTACAGTTATACCAACAACTCAAGACGTATCTGTTGCCACAATTATATCTCACTCCGCATCGAGTGACAAGTTGCCACCCACAAAATCAAGCGCTCGTGTGGTTGTCCAGTGGAGATACACGAAGGGGAGGGGACCTGGTCCAACGATTCTTGTTGGCAACGGCCTATATTGCCATGAATGGCACGGATTGGGAATATCAAAACCTGTGGCTATCAGATGCCAATGAATGCGTGTGGTTGGGGTTGTTTTGCAATGACCGATATCAGGTGGAGTCTCTGGCCTTGGAACGAAACAATGCCATGGGAACGGTGCGTGCTGATGGTGCCTTGACGGATGAATGACAATGCTCTCTGTCCTTGCGACTCACTCCCTCACAGATCCCCACAGAACTACAGCTGATGCGGGGATTACAGACTCTTTCCATAACTGGTTCCGGGATGACAGGTGAAATCCCCGCGGATCTCTTCCGCCTGCCAAATCTCAAAGTGTTGTGTTTGTCTTCCAATCAACTCACTGGCAGCATTCGTACTGAGATTGGACTTGCCACCAATCTAGAAGTACTGAAAGTGGACAGTAATTGGCTGTATGGATCCTTGGTTTCGGAAATGGGATTGCTGACCAAACTACGGTTGCTTTCTGTTGGGTTCAATACATTTGTTGGATTCATTCCCGGCGAACTGGTACAATGCACTAAATTGACTTCCCTGACATTGGAAAACAACCGCTTCTCAGGCACCTTTCCCACAACCATTGGACACCTGACTTCTTTGGTGGAGCTTTTCATGGCAGACAACCTGATGACAGGTTCACTTCCAACAGAAGTTGGGTTGATGACAAGCTTGAGTGAAATTCGGCTGACAAATATCGGCATGCATGGTCGACTTCCCACAGAGATTGGATTGCTGACAGACTTGTGGAGAGCAGACCTTGGAGGTCAAATCTTGACTGGAACAATCGTGACAGAACTAGGAGAGTTATCCAAGCTGGGTATGTCATATGACAGGGTATGATTGTTGCCATTTTTGCCTGGTTCTTTTGTCTCATTTTGTGTGGCTTGCTGGCGCTTTCCTTGAAGCCTATTTCACATTGAAGCAAAACGATATCACGGGAACTCTCCCTACCGAGCTGGGTAGACTGACCAGCATGGCTCGTTTGGATCTACGGGAGATGTATTTGTCAGGCACTATTCCATCCGAGATCGGAGCAATGACCTCATTAGGTAGGTTTTTCCTGCAACTGATTCTATTGTTCACAGGTTGTACTGTATGGTGCTAACAAATCTTTTCATCACCTTAGAGGACCTGATTTTAGATTTCAATGACATTATCAGCACAATTCCGTCAGAAATTTGCAACTTGCGGTGCTCCTGCAATTCTTCCCTGCAAAATTTCATTGTAGATTGCCCAACAAGGCAAGGAAGGGGGGTTGGTAACTATACCCCAGGTGGCATTGATGCACTGCTATCAGCTGAAGGAAACTGTTTCTCCTTTTGTAGAAAAGGAAACTAATGGGGGCTGGCTGCATTGTTGCAAGAGACAGTTAGGGAGCTGGTGAAAGCATTGATTGTTGCATGTGACCTGCGAAGCTAAACGAAATTGTGTCACTAGCTAGGACTCAGACTTCTGTGATGCATCAGTCTGGGGTGGATTGCACTTCCAGTAATTGCTATGATGTGTGATTTCTTCTGACGGGATTCGGCCTGTGAATGATATACTGGAATCCTCTTCGTCTCTGAAGGGCTGCCATTTCAAGAAAACAATGCCCATTCTTGCTGCTCTGTGTCTCATTGATGATGGATGGAATGCTTGTGTGCATGGTCAATGCTCTGCTAGGCTACAGTAGTACAGTATAGTGGTACCTTTCGCCGTCTCCTACACACAATGTACTACTCTAAAGAGAAGCCGTTCTTGATTGCATGCTGGCCACTTCTCTCTCTAATTCGATAGCTAGTCTATCGGTAGCAATGCTATCTGCGGCAAAGGTGTCTTTGAAGACTTAACTGACAAGTGGTATCCAATGGGTCATCCAAAGAATGATCATCCAAAGGTGGTGCTCTCCACCGGTGGCCAGCTATGCTTTCCTCGCTACCGTAGCTAGTAGCTAGATAACCTTCCCTCTATCCCTTCTACGGTGGCCGTGGCATCCACGTGGAGTGAACGCCCGTTTTGGGGGAGGAGTAAAAGGGGAAGGTACAATAAGACAATAAGGGTACAGTGTACGACTGTACTCGAGCATTAAATAGTCGTACCCAGTAGCTGTCCGGTGCTGGTACCGGTTATTGAGGGCGTCAATAATTGACGAGGCGTGAATAAGCTCTCACAAAAACTGGCACACACCGTTTCTGGCTCAGAGTCACAACGGTAAGGAGCTTTTGTTGCCTACCTACCGGTCTCTTTGGCAGCAACAAACAACCAACCAAACACACTGATAGCAAGATGAGTGTCGTTCCAAGATCCCTGCTCCTTTTGCTGCTCCTTCTTCCAGTCCGATGCGTCCTGGGAGGTGCCAAGGCTACCCTGGCAACCCCGATTGTGGGCATGTCCAACGCCACCGCCAACAAACACCGTCAGAGAATCTGCGATCGATACTTGCAAGTGGAATATGGTGAAGCTGGATGGCGAGATGCTCTTTCTGGCTTGGAATTGAATGCCATCTTTAGCGTCAGCAAGTTTTTTCATTACGACGACGAGAATGGCATCAACGAGACGGATCCGGGAATTGTGGTAAAGATTATGGATGAACTAGCTGAACGGGCCAACTTTACCTGGCGCAATTCCTTTGCCGTGTCCTATGGCCCAGGACCCTTTGCGAGTTGGACCGAAATGTTGGAGCTATACACCGAACTCTTTGATATCAGTGTGGACTACTTTGATAAGAGCTCAGATCGCTTGAATCGAGGGATAGGTAGGTTCCTTCTGGCGTGTCACTTTCTGGTATCCATTGGTATCTTCTGGTCTGGGTCCTCATTATTGTTTACTACTTTTTCACTGCAGCCTTTATGGATCAATGGTTCGATGGCAACATGTTGCTCATTGAAAAGGTGAAACCCCCAGAGGATGACAGCAATAAGATCAACTACCTCAGTTTCTTGGCACCGTTTGAAGCCACTGTCTGGTGGGTCACCGCTGCGACGTGTATCTTTTCGGGCCTGATCTTTCAATTGTTGGAGTTCTTGTACGATGAACGAGAAGACCGATCACTCTACCAATGGTTCCTCGATCATCAGTACCTTTCGGCTATCAACTTTACACAACAGTTTCTCTATGAACCTGTCACTCCAGCGGGACGACTTTTTGGCTTTAGCATGGCGTTCTGGGCCATGGTGATGGGGGCTACCTACACGGCAAATCTGGCCTCCTTTTTTGTCGATCAAAAGGGAGAACCCACCAAACTGGCGGACATTGATGAAGCCATTCGGAATCAAGTCAAAATATGTACTTGGAAAGGAACCAATGCCGATCTGTACATTCGAAAACGATACCCCCAGTCCATTCCCCTGCTGGTACCCAAACGAGAAGAAAACGAAACGTACTTTGCCCTGCACACGGGAGAATGCGGTGTCACTATTGGTGCCAAAGCGACCTGGCTTGGCTATGAGAAAGATCAATTGTACAATCCTGACTGTGATCTAGAGTGGGTGGGGCGGGTTGTGGAAGAAGTCAGTTCCTCCTTTGCCGTCAAGGCAGATCCTGCCGTCCTCTGCACCAATCTGATTCGGGATGTATTGAACTATCATTTGGTGGAAATGAATTCCAATAATCGTACATTGGAGAAATTGTGGGAGAACTATTATGAATCCAACGAGAACAAGAATAACTGTGATGATATTCCTGCCGAAGGTGAAGAAGAAGGTAGACGGCTGCTGCAAGATGACACGACAATAATCAACACCAATGACTATGGAACTTTTTCGGTCTCTCGTCTACTCAAAGGAGGTGGTGGCGGGGGAGGAGGCTCTGCTGCAGCTGCTGGCGGTGGTTCTGAAGAAGCCTTATCCATTCGAGCCATGGCTGGAACATTTGTATTACACGCCGGTTTTGCGGCGGCTGCCGTTCTGGTTGGAGTCATTCAATACTTTCGAAGGGGTGGGAATCCAGGCAAGAACCTGGATGGTGGCTCGGATGCTTTTGACGACGACGAAGGCAGCTTGATGACAGGATCCGCCAACGGGCATTACGGCAAGGTGGTCTCAGGGCCCTATCCCATTGGCGGAAAAGTTCTTGCGACAGGATCGTGCCGAAATGGAAACACCGATGTGATCTCCAAAGCAACCATGAAGGAGCAGCTTCAAGCACTCCATACATCACAACAGCAGCTAGAAAGACAACAAGAAGCAATGGCGCAGCAAATGTCACAGGTGGTGCACATATTGACCAAAATGGACGATCATTCTACGCGCAGCGAGAAGTCTGCTTTTGCCTCGTTCTTCGCGAGTGCCTGAACTGACATTCCTCGCGATCGCTCCTGGACTCTGCGGACTGGGGCTGGTTGAACTGGGACCAGGACAGCAGAGATTCACAGCAGCGGAAATGCATGTTTTAGTAGATCTAATTTTTGCAACGCATCTTTTATAATTGTTTTGGATCAGCATCGAGACTCGCTCGGACCTGCGTTTGTTTGAAACCTCTAAACTACAGAATGCAATCTGACAAGTCGCAACCTTGTTGCTGGGGGGCAGCTATCTAGTGTGTCAATCCGAAAGTTCATTCCGCGCCACCGGGCACAAATCGTGACCAGTGAAGAGTAGTAGCAGCCTGTCCTACCTGCACACGACGAATGAATGCGTCTAATATTAATAGTTGTTGGGGCTTGGAACTGGACCAGAAAGGCGGGCGTCTCCCCACCACACGCGGGTCAACATCATTGCTACGAGTATTTGGACTTTGAACGCTTCGTCTTCTTCTTTTTGCTCCTCCGTGTGGATTGCCGCAGTATTCTCTCCAAATCTGGTGCCGGTATGGGAGGTCTTGGCTTGATTCCGTTGTTCACAAAAGATTGCACGAATTGTTCTGGCACTGCGCTCAGCGCCTCCGCCACTACTTTGCTCGAACTCTCTTCGAAATCACTGAAAGCCGCAAACCGGCAAATGTCTCTGGAGATCGGGACCCCATTTGAGTGTTGAAGTTTGGCGCTGCCATCTTCAAAGAAGTTCGTGAAAGCCTCAAAGTTACCCAAACCCACTCCAATAATAACTACTGACATTGGGGCATCTTCTGCAGCAGTGCAAAGGGAGTCAACAGCCTCCTGCACGTCATAAACAGCGCCGGCCGTCAGAATGCACAAAATGCTGTAGCAGTGACGATTTTGCGACTGCTCAATGGATTTGAACATGGCCTTCTCAAGGATGGGTTTAATGTTGGCTCCTTCGCTGGGATAGTGGGTTATGTGCTCTCCAAAGAAGTTTTCGTACTGATCCAACAAACCATTCGCTCCGATACCCACACCATCTCCGATGTTGAACACATCTTGTTCCTCCTCATCAATGATTCCTCCAAATCCCCAAATGTTGAACTCTTTTCGCGTGTTGTAGCTCTCGCAAATGACTCCCACTTTGTGAATGGCTGCTTGGTAGTCGTTCAACCAAAGCTGACTGCGAAAATGCAGCCCAGTTTCATCTGTGTATTCTCCATTGGCCATACTGCAGTCAACCGCGATGGTGAGATCAATTTCGCAACCACCACAGACAAATTCCAGCAGGCTGGGAATCTGCACAATGTGCGCCTTGAGAACCTTCAAGCATCCGGCCTTTCTTTGCTTGCTACCACGAAACATCTTTTTCTCTTCTCGATAAATGTTCAGAGTGGGAATACCGTGCTCGCTACCATGGACCAAGTTACGTACGGTGGTTTCCACAAAGCCCAACGCGTTGTCATCGGCGAACTTGTTCCAATCCCACAGGGTGATTTTGATTTGGTTAAAGATATCCCCGTGACATAGCTGAGGCACTGGCAGCCGAACCAAAGCCCACGTCGGATTGTCGTCGTCCATGAGCACTTCGCTCTTGAAGATTGTCTCCCAAGTGACCCCATCTTCTTCCAATCGCTCAATGTTGAAGTATGGATCATTCTTATCCAAACCATCCACTGCGGGCATTTCCTGCGCCGAGAACCGCAAGGCCACAATTTCCCTTGCTTCGCTGATTTCTCGTCCCGATATGTAGAGTTGAGATCTGCCCCCTTGTCCTAAAGCCCGTGCCATAGTACAGCCAGCACTGCCCATCAATTCACCGAGTGTAAACACGAATCCCCCTAGATAATCATGCTCGCGTAGGTCGGTGGCGTACTTTAGATCTTCATCGTAGACCCGAATCAGGTAGGTTTGTTCTTCCTGAAACAGAAAATCTAGCCGGAGCGTGTGCTCGAATCTGGGACTATTGCTGCCTCGTACAACTTCGGTACGTCCAATCTCCAACTCTTGTCGTGAAGGTAATGGCGACGGCCTGTCACTGTCTACGCCTGTCCCGACATAACCATTTGGTACCTGCACAGAATGGACATCATTAATTAGCGGGGCCAACACTGTTGCTTTCGTGGATTGCTCGCGACAATCAACTTACCGCCCATACTACAGCAAAGGCGTCTGCCAAGGCAAAACTGCGAGGGAGTAGGCACGTGAGTACAAGTTCAGTTGCCGTGCATGCATTTTCGACATTTGTTCGACAGCTGGTTCAACACAAGAAGCCATCGCGTACCTATCCTTTTGCGGCAGATTCTTGCATTCCACGTGTAGATCAATTTTGATGACGGGAGATGTAATACGAGTCTCCCAGGCCAATCGATTATCACGCACCACACGACGACGAGCCAAGTTGGTCAATGTTCCGGGCAAACCGACAGCACCCTTCAATGTGTTACCGACCAAGTTGATTGTAGTACCAGGGAAATCAGTCACGAGACCCACACCTCCCTTGGCGACGAGACGACCGACACCGACAGCACCCTTGGTTGTGGCCAGGGTACCCTTGACTCCTACGATGCGTCGTGAACATTTTCCCGGCAATGAATGAGAAAATGCGAGTGCTGTTGTAATCCGTCAAATCCATTCCGTGGGGACTTACCAAGTTTCTATAGTAGAAGAGAAAAGCCAAGGGCGGGAATAACGCAGAGTGAGGCCACTGGGTCCACTACCCACACACACTGCACTTCATAGTAAGTACTGGTATGACCAACTTACTGCTCCAGCCAATGTACCCTTCACACCAAGCTTTGCACCTGTACCAATACCCTTGACTCCTAACTTGGCTCCGGCTCCAATACCTTTTGCTCCCAAACGAGCTCCCGTCAGGGTAGATTTGACTCCCAACTACACGAGATAAAGAACAAGAAGGAGTATACGGAAATTAGCTTGAGCAATCCGCGAATATCTGTCTGCAAGGCACTGAAACTACAAAATAAGCTTACCTTGGCAGCTTTGGCCGTTCCAGAGGCTGTTCCTTTCGCCACAAACTAGGATTCGATTCAAGGCAGCGATTATGTATATATTGAGTCAGAACAAGATTATCCAAGCCATTCAATAACAACGCCAACAGACACGCACACAAAACTCACCTGCGCCGCATTTCCGACTCCCTTCATGGCTCCACCAGGCAAAGCAGTGCTATTCTTGACGGCTCCTTTCAGACCTCCTTTAAATCCCTTGGCGCCGCGGGCCACGGAGGATCGCATGGATCCTCGTTTGGTGTCATCATTGAATGTCACGGACGGCTGCGCCATGGTCAATCAGTTAAATAATGTTGCGTGATACTAGTATTCAACCGCACCGAACTTCGAATGCTATGCAGATTGCTCCCTCCCTCTCTCTCTCTTTTCTTTGTCTCGCGCAATCTCAGTCGTTCCTTTGGATCAAACAATCACTGATCGAAGGGATAGACTCGACTCGACTCGACTCGACTCGTGGGGGTAGCTCTAGTAGTGTTGCCTTTGCTTGTCCCGGACTCTGCTGTCAGATGGATACCCAAACCTCGGTCTCGCCCTGACCTTCGTTTGTCGGATCCCTTACTTCTTCTCTGCTGATGCTTACAAGACTGCCTCTTCGAGATGCTTGTCCTTTCGACGAATTTCCATGCAACAATGTTACGTGCGGTACGGTACGCTGTAGTGGACGCTGGTACAGCTGGTACTTTGTTGCGTGTTGTTGTTTGGGGGTCGTGCCCGTGACCGGCTCAAAGGGAGTAAGAAGCCTAACTGGCTTATTAGATCCCTGTCTCTCGACGACGACGCTCTCTGAGGACAACCTTTGCTTCCTGCCGCTTGACAAAATGAAGCAACCTTTGGAGATACCAGAAGCACTCCTTGCAACTTGCAAGCAAGGGAGAAGGACGTTGCTTGCACAAGGTTGGATCGATCCGACTTCTGGGAGAATTGTGCATTTCAGTACCTTGGCGGGTGAACTGGAGATCAACACGCACCCCGAGAGGCAAACATGATGCAAAACAAATCTATTAGCTAGCTAGCAGGACGGCATGGGCTGGCTGTCAGGGCGGCCTACACTCTCACGTAGAGTGAGATACTGAAGGAGATCAGAGGCAGAGGGGTCCAGCCCTTGAGTGCTATCACGCACCCTGAGCAATGGGGAATGTTTTGTGAATGGCTATCCCAGCCAGGGACAATGTAGTCCAAAAGCACACGGCAGGCCTAGCTAGTGGTTGGGCCATGGCTTAGCCCAGAAGAAGGGGGAAACTGACACATGTTGGAATAAAATGAACTATGAATGACGATTGTTTTTCAAGCTGCTCTTACCCCACCAGCATACACATTTTTGCAACCTCAAGCACTTCAGGTTATACCGTACGGTTCTTAGATCCACCCAAGCTCCGTCATGGCATAGAAATCATTCCAGATCTTCTTCACACTCACAATTTTGTAATCATCATCCAAAAGCGCCCAATAGGCATAATCCGAAATTGTTGTCATGTTGGTTGGTGGGAAGGGCATTCCCTCTCCAGTATGGGTGGCAGTTATGGTAGCTGCATAGACAATGGCATTGTCTTCTTCGTCATAGCCAATATCTCGCGCATCGACCGAGAATCCAACCAACGGACCATTCCCAACAAAGGACCACCAGTCACAGTATCCCTGCCAAGTGGTGACGTTGACCAATGCCAAACCTTGGTGGCTGAATTCGGCACCTTCCACAGTGGAGTCTTCATCCAAGCCCATGGCATTATCACAGTCAATGATGGACTTCATGGCAGCTTCGATTGCATCGGCATCGTAGGCGTAGTCTCCCGAAGATTCGTCGGGGAAGTCCTCGCCAATGGCACTGGCCAAGATACCCAAAAACACAAGGGCGATCATCTCGTAAAAACGCATCTTTCTTTTCTTTTTTTCTTTCAATACAACAGGATACGGTAGATATGGACACCAAAAGGGCTTGGGTGTTGAGACGAGAGCTCAGATGAGATAAATGAGGTCATGGGACTTCACACAAATTTGGCGGCAAGGCAGTAAATTTGGTGGCAAACCTCGAAATGGATCCTGGCTATTACGTCAGTCTTCTGGTTCAACAGCTCTCTAACCGTTACTCTGCCAGCTATTAATAGACACTTTCTGAAAATAGATTTACGGAAGGCTTCTACCTTCTACTGAGTGGTACGTGACTGTACTATGACAATGTGACCAATAAAACAGCTACTGTACTGAGTACGACTGTACTCTACGACTGTACTAGCTAGCTGAGAATGCAGTAACGCAGCTCCTTGAGCAAATTGATATTAAATCCTTCTTCTCTTTCTTTGAAAAGTATAAGACTGTCTCTTAAACCTTACTAACAAAGGCGGTCTTATGATGTTTTTCTCAGACAGAAGGGGGTCTTATTACTACGAGCAGCTTCGATTTTAATAATTCAAACGCGTGCCGGCATTTCTGCTACAGTTCTACTAGAGCTCGTGTAGAAGTGTACTGAAAAGAGTGGCGCGCGTTTGAATCAATAAAATCGAAGCTGCCTGTAGCTAGTATTGGGAACCGGTAGAAGTCATATGCTCCAGAGTAATAGGTCTTACAGCAGGACTCTAATTCCGTCAAGCCTTTCCGCCCAAGCCCGAAAGACAAAAACCGGTACTAAAGGCCTTACAGCCGTACCGGTACCGGTACAGTACCGTACGACTGTACCTCCCGGTACCGTACGAAGTACGAAGTACAAGAGTACATGTAATGGTACAAGCACTTGGCACTTCCTCAGCACCACCAAGTGTTGAGAAAGACGACAGGAAGTGAAGGTTGGTTGAGAGCAGGGAAGTTAGACTGGACTACCTACAAAAGCGGGCTCGGGCAACATTTTATTGAACAAGTAGTGGATTCGACAATCCAGGCATTGGAGCGATTTGTCTTTCCGGCACTTGAATAATGCAGCTAATAATGTTGACACCAAGGCCCCTGTCGCGCGGTCGCGACATGATTGAGTTGCTGAGGGAAGCCCGCAAACCGTTGCTGAACAATGAAGGCAAAAAGAAAGCCAGGCAGGGGGCATTCCACGGCACGGAAGGAGGCCAATCAAGCTGAATTTGACAGCAAAATGGAAGACATTTGATGGTACCAGTAACGAATACAGTGTAGCTTATCAGCAAAAGATGGATGATTGTCTCACTGAACGCAAAAGAGTATCCGCAAACAGAGAATCAGCAAAAACAAGGAACGCAGCAACACAGTCTTCCAGCAAAAGGCTGATGAGGGAGGGATTCGAACCCTCGCCAATGAAGACAACGGCCTTAACGTTGCGCCTTAGACCGCTCGGCCACCTCACCTTCTGTTGCTGTAAACTTCGATAAATTTAGCTTATACATACATGCAACGCTATCAACTTCACAAAGGATCAGGTCTAATCATCAGATCTTGCCTCGTCGGTTGTGCGCACCAACACAAAAGACTGCATGTATTCATCACTCTTCTGACAGAGCAAGATCCGTCTGCAACTCCGCCTACGGTACCATACAGTACGCCTCTGCGACCAACTTCAGCTACATGGTACGTTGCGAAATGGCTCTATCTGACGCTTTGCGGTGCGCTCAGAGTACCAGTAGCTATGTACACAGACTTTGTGGAGGACAAACTACAGTAGTTGTTGCCGAAGTCAGCTGCTTTCCAACTCCGACAGGCAAGTGAATGCACTTACTTGCAATGCTGACTGCAACGGCTACTGGATCCTCCCGCCAACCCCCCAGGAACGCAGAACTTATTTCTGCTCGCAAAACTACAAGACGTGCCACTCCCAGAAGGTAAGCCCCGCCCAGGGAAGGCGCGTCACGACTCCGCTTTCCGCTTTTCGTGCGGTGCTGGTGGGTACACTGAAATTCTCACGTGCTTTGATTGCGCTTTCCAATAGGGCATTACTGCGAGTCAGTCATGACATGTAGCTACGTAGCCGTGACTGTGGAAAGCATGCCAGTTGGATCTACGGAGACCCTCGCTCAGCAACCCAACAACACGTGCACAGAGCTTTTTGGAAGTTGCACTGGGCAATATCTGAATAACCATGACTCCTGCGCCGACCTCAACTGTGTTGGAGATGAAGCCTACAAGCAATGCGTCGAACCTCAAGGTGGGTACTAAAAGAGCCACAACAATGGATCCGACGGTAACGACAACGATGGATACATGAACCGTACATGTAGAGCATCTCGGGACTGATTGGCACTTTGCGACACTGTTGTGCTGCAGTATTAAGCGTTTAGCGTAGGCGATAAAATCAAAGGAAATAGCAGATGATGATACTTGCAAATCACTGGCATCCATGGAAACTCACAAAGGAAGGAAGGAACTCACAGGTTTTACCGCTCAGCTTCAGATTCGGAGGATGAGTCCTCGTCAAGGAGAGCGCTCAGTTCTTCGGCAAAGGTGTGCCCCCCTAGCAGTCCTTGCAATTCTTCTCTGCGCTGTGATCCTCGCCTCATAAGCATGTCCACATTAGACTGTCGCTTTTCTTGTTTGACAAAGTACATGTCCATCGCTTTCATGTTCTTCGGCGCTATTTTGCCTCGGTGTACACAAGGGACCTGGGAGATACACGATAAAGCGATATGTGAGCGGCATGCTGACAAAATTTTGGCGTTGTGATGGGTGGCACGCAATTTCCTTGACGTTACCTGATCCTTCACCAGTTGGTATGTACTCTCGGATATATTGATGAACCCCGGTTCACTCGTTTGCTCGCACCTGGCCGCGACATTGACTGGATCCCCCCAGATATCTGACGCCAAAGGAAAACATTAGTGTCCTCATCATGCTGCCAATCCTACAAGCCATTCGGCCAACCCATTCGGCAACTCAAAACAAGACGATCACTCACCGTATGCGAACTTCCTTATTCCAACGACCCCAGCCACAACACTTCCTGTGTTGATTCCGATTCGAATATCAAAGTACGTTGTGCCAACAGCGGCTCTTCTGTGTTTCATTCCTGCAACAAAGAAGATCATGTCCTTTGCCGCTGCAATCATCTTGCGTGGACTTTCAGGATCGGGGACAGGAAGCCCCGCGGCTGGCATTCGCAGGAAGGAGCGTGAGTGAACGAACTACTTTCAGAGGGCTATCGGCGCGATCGTCCTTCGTTCTCACTTACCGCACATATAGGCATCGCCTATGGTTTTGATTTTCTCGACGCCGTGGCTGGCAACGATCTCATCCATAGCGCCAAAGTACTCATCCAAAAGCTTCACTAGGTCTTCGGGTGACATGTTTTGTGAAAGCACAGAAAAATTCACAATGTCGGAGAACAAAATCGTGACATTTGAGAAGCGACGAGCCGGAGATTTGTCGTTGAGCTTCAGCTCATTGGCAATCTGTCGCGGCAGAATGTTCAGAAGAAGCTCATCGGAGCGAACCTTCTCCGCCTCCAGTTCCTGCTTTTGGCGTTCAATAGCAGCCGTTCGTTCCTTGACTTTTTGCTCCAATCTATCATAGAGGAGTGCATTGTGGATTGAAATGGCAATTTGGCCCGACAGAAGATTCAGAAGTGCTGTTCGTTCCTCTGTGAAGGCACCTGAAATCAAAGTGTTTTGTAGGTACACAACTGCGAGTAGTTTTCCGCGAAGAACAATCGGAGAACAAAGTATGGAACGTGGGCCATTCGCCTGAATGTATGGATCCTGCCCGAATGTTTCGTCATTGGCTCCGCTATCCAGCACGATTGTCTCGTTGACACGAGCCACGTAGCTAACCACTGACTGAGGGAGCGTTTCCAGTGACTTGATAGGAATGTTTTGTAGGACCGAGCTCACGTCCCTACCGAGATCACGTTCTGCTTGGAGAAAGAGTTGATCCTTTTCTGCAAGAAGGAGGCAACCCCGGTCGGCACCAGCATTCTCGATTAGCACCGCCATGAGTGACTTTAGCAGTTTGCCAAGAGCAATATCACCTTGAATGGCTGTCGCTGACTTCATGACAGAGAACATGTCCAGATACTGGCTGCTGCCATATGTTGATGACAAGGTGCTGGAGTAAATGCTTAGGTGTTCCGGGTACCGCTGGACAAGTTGCTGGCATTTGGCCAGTGCACCCCACTTGGCATACGCTCTGTAAGCTTCCATCAAAAAGGACTTTCCCGCTTCAACAAGCTCAATTTCCAATAAGCATTCCGCTGCTAGTTCATTCGCCAATGCCAAGTCGTTCAAGAACCCATGCTCAGAAGCCCCCGCCACTGATTGCTTGTACATCTTAACTGCAAGCCTGATATCGCTATTCACCCTAGCTTTCTCCGCCTCCACAAGATTCCACTTGTGGAGGAAGTTCATGGGAGCATCAGACGACCACTTTTCCATCGCTTTCTGATTTGTCGTCACTCGTTCAAGAAGCTCTTCTTTCCGCTCCGGCGAACGCCTTGTCTGAGCAAGGCAAAGCAACGAATTGATGAAATTGAAAGAAGTATTCTCAAGCTTTGCTAGTACAGCAGAGAGCCTTGCTTCGGTTTCGCTACTGCAGCTTTCCGCCGTGTCATATTTTCCAAACAGGTAACAAAGGATCATCTTGTTGAAATAAACAAAGAAACAAGCAGTATTGTCTTTGGCTGCAATGTGCCTTGGAAGCATCTCAACTTCGTTGTACGCTGATCCAACCAGCTTACAGGGATCGTCACTGCGACCAGCCAGATTCAGCACGGCTTGATGGTATATTTGGTTGAAGTTGTAGTTGGTTTCCTGCGCAAAGCTCTTCATCAGGGACGAATAATCTTCGATCTCCGTCTCGAGTCCTTCCAAAGGTTGGCCCGAGAGATACTGGTGAATGCAGTAAATGTTGGCGTTGATACAGAGGTACTCGATTGCTCCCGTTTCTAGGCCGACATGGATCGAGAAGATGAGCGGCTGAAAGGTTTCGCGGATGTGCCTACTCCAGTGGACGATGAGTGCGTAGTGTGGTGTATAGATCTGAGCCAGCCAATCCTTCGCGTTGAATTTGTCCATCACCTTTATCCCGAGGTCTCCAAACTCGTGGGCGCGTTGCATGTCCCCAACCACGCCCGATAATATCACCCCGAACGTCCCGTAAGCAAATGAAGAAACTTCCGTGTTTCCGTACAAGACGGACAGTTCCACCGACTTGAACACGATTAATGGAAAGAGCTCAGCCCGAGCCCAGTACACGGAAGAGTTAATGTCTGCAATGAGCTTCAGCGATGCCACTTTCCCAGGGTCTTGCATCAGAGGAAGATGCAAAAGTGTTTCAGTCGACTTGTTTTCGAGCAAGCCCAAGACCTTTCCCAGTTCAGCCACGGTATTCTCTTGTGTGGGCTCAGGAAAGACAACATCCAGTTGCTTCAATACCGAAATACCTGTATCAATTGCATCGAGGAGCTTGTTTCTCGCCTTGTACGACAGGATTCGGATTCGGTAGGCAGGAATCTTCTCCAGCAAGGTTTTCGTTCGGCAAAGAACTTCTGAAATTGCATCGTCCATCTTTTCGAATTGTGCGCTCATGTAAGCCGTGTCAGCTGCCAGTGTATAAAGTGACAGACACAAGTCGTAGTGTGCATCCCATGCAATGTCGACTGCCCCCACCAACCGAATCCCCGTGGACACGTAAACATACGACGAATTGTATGCTGCAGTGTCGGCCCCTCGCTTCCCCGCTGCCAGATTCAGCTTTGCCAATCGAAGCTTCTCCTCGTCGTCAGTCACGAGCGACAATCCACTATTGAACTGATCGACAATCTCAAAGATCTGTTCCATCTCTTCATCTGGAACGTCCGATTGTTGACCCAAAAGAATCTTCCCCAGCGAATAATGTCGTCTGGGTCGCTCTTGCTCCGAGAGGATCGACAGGGCTGCCTGCTGCACCCGATCGTGCAGGAAACGGTAGATGTTGTTGGCACCATCTTCCGACAAGATCAGCCCCTCCTTTCGCGCCACCTCCAAGAGCGATTCCGTTTGCGGCAAGGATAGTCCTCTCTCTGCTGCAACGACATGGGCTGAAAAGCGTGCCCCAACACATGCTGCCGTACACAAACATTCGAGCAAGTTGGGCTCCAGTCGCTGCAGTTTTTGGGCCATGAAATCCACCACATTGTCCGTGCTGGTCAACTGTTGTATTGCCTCTGTATTCCACTGCCACTTCTCGGATGGCCAGTCGAACTGGACATGACCTTGATCGTACAAGTCCTGCAAAAACTGCCGCGTAAAGAAGGAATTACCTCGTGTCTTTCTGTAGGTCAAATCGGTCAACTCGGAGACATTTGGCTGTTGACTGGTGGTCGTATGCAGCGTGTCTGTAATCATGAGATGCACGTGTTCGCGCTGCAAGTTTTCCACAAGAATGGTGTGTATTGTCGTCTCACTGGATGGTTTGGCGGATCGAATGTGATCCATGGTTCGCACAAAGGGATGAGACGGACCGACTTCATTGTCTCGATAGGCACCAACAATGAGAAAGTGTCCATTTTCCGGATCCAACGCCAAGGCTTGCAAGAGTTCCAACGAGGACGAATCGGCCCATTGGGTATCATCCAGAAAGAGCACCAACGGAGCCATGGCACAAATGGCCCGGAAAAAGCTTTTCATCACGTACAGGAATCGATTCTGCGCTTCCTTTCCTGCCAATTCTGGAATGGCCGGCTGCTCGGCACCAATAATGGATCCCATGGAGGGCACGAGTTCTAAAACGACACGTCCTTCATTCCCTACAGCTTGTCGGAGTCGTTCTTTCCATGCGTTCAGTGTCACTTCGTCTTGTTGTTTGAACAACCAAGTGACCAGGTTTTGCAGTGCCAAGACAATGGCATGATAGGGGACGCGTCGGGATTGATCAAATTTGCCAGATATTCGCAACGTGGGATGCGTTTGTTCGACCAGTGCGGTTTTCCCCGTACCACTGTATCCGGCAACCCAAATCACTTCGAGTGTTCCCTTGGCAATGACTCGATTCATAATGGTAATCAGTTGCTGTACCTGAGTTTGTCGTCCATACAGCCGTCCCACTGGCAAGTGCCAGCATCCCATGTGATGTCGCAAACCACTATTATTGGGAACTGTGGTGGTGTATTGTTGTTGGTGTTTTTGCGCCTCTTGCAGATCCAACCACAATCCTTGTGCCGATTGATACCGATCGTTGGGGTTCTTTTCCAGCAACGTGTCCACGATATCGGCTAAAATTGTGGGAATGCTGGGATCCTGGTCGGTGACGCGTTTGGGCTTCATGGCGATATGAAAATGAATGAGTTCCATGGGATCGAGCGGCGTCATGACGGCAAAAGGCAAATTACCAGTCAAACAGTGATAGAACACCACACCTAGACTATATAGGTCACTTCGGTGGTCTACAGTGCGATTTTGCATTCGTCCCGTTTGTTCCGGCGACACAAAACAGAGATCAGGTCCATAATGAGATGTTCCTTCTGCTGAAATGTTGCTGTTGTTGCTGCTGCTAAAATCATGGTTCAGAATAATGTCCTTGCCCGCATTGACCAAGCAATCATTGGCATCACTAGTGTCGTCGTCCCTGGTGGTGGTCAACAAAAAGACCAGTTGACCATCATCTTGTGTGGCTGTAGTGGAAGTACCATTACGGCGAGTCTCGTCATCGTCGTCTAACAATAAAGACGCCTGAATTTTGATTCGGTCCGTGGAGAGATGTCCATGCAGCTTTCCAGAGGCATGAAAGGACTTGTGCAAACGCTCTGTAATGCCCAAGGCCACGGGAAAGAAATCCTTCAGGCTCAGCTTTCCCAGAGACGACAGAGAGACCGTTCCTGATTCAAGCTCCTCAGTCCTACCGGTACCACCGCCGTCTTCAGGACTGTTGGGGACTTCCTCAAACACCATTCTCTGGACTTGTACTTGCAGCTCTTGTAACTTGGTCTTTAGACTACCTCAAAACTGGACAACAAAAGTGGAGGGCCCGGGGACATGAGAAAATGAGGAGAGTGCTTTGTCATTCTCGATGGCGTCCTGTGCGTAATAATTCTCATGCTCGAAATCTATTCGATTGACTATTCGACTTGATTCGAAGAGGTTGAACTTGGAAGCTCCCTGCAGTTTCACGTTCGGATTTTAGCTAGAAAAGAATTATTGATACAGTCATAGTGTTATTGTTATTACAACAGCGTGATCTTCAATAATAGTAAATAAGTAAGAAACACTTGCAGTGACGGTACGGCGACGCTACGGCGACGTCAAGCCTTTGTTCACCTTTGTTCTTGAAGAACAGCAAGAAAAAGTCAACTGGGACTTGATCTTGTTTTAGTAGAATGCTTGGTGGTACAGTACTGGTGCTGGTGGTACTGGTACCGCTGTACCGCGTACGGCATTACCAGGTACACAGAAAGTACGTGCTTACTGAGTACTATGTACCAGGTACCGGTTACCGGTGTCGGAGACCGAAAGGAGGAAACACAGCTTCGCCAAGGCTTGCAGCTGGCTTTTTCGTGCTTGGGCCTTGGGCTGGCTGGGGGAGTTTCGCTCGAGCGAGAGCACAGAAAAGACTTCAAACCTGAACGAATGCCTCCCTGGTACCTGGTACTACATGTCTACAAGGAGTCAAGTCCACAAGTCGCTTGCAGCTTAGCTTGCCACCATGGTGTTTTCTCCGAGAACAACTTTCTTTGACATCATCCACTATGAGCCAGAAGAGGAGGAGTTGGAGCTACCAGAGGGAAAGTCTCTGCCGCATTTCGATTACTATGAGAAGCTTCGCCGAAATCGATTCATCCCCTCTGTTGTCTACGAGAACTCCAGTATCGTCGGTATCCCAGCTCATGTCACTCCTCTCGGCAACAGTAAGAATGGTATGACATCGATTCGATTGGCTCATATAGCCAGCGTGATGGCCGTGACCAATCCCATCTACTGGAGAATCGATCCCATCTGGAACAATGTCCAGGCCGCTGCGGTGTTGGCACTCAAACATCTCAACGAACGGAGTGGTCGCATAATTCATGATCTCCCCGAACGAATGCAAGCCTGTCCCGACTTGTTCTTTACCATGGATCTCTACGACTCTTTATTCAGTCCCATCCATGCTGCACGACAATTCACGGGTCGCATTGTCAATCGACAACACTCCCTGGCCACTCCACTTCCCATGGCTCTGTCGGGAGCCACACGCAGTGAAGTTTCCGAAACATTGGCCACATTGGCCGGTGTGATGGGAATCCCACAAGTCTCTCCCGTTTCCTCCTCAGATTCCCTCGACAATAAAAGTGTCTTTCCCCTCTTTTGTCGCACCACATCCTCCAATCAAGGCATGGCCCGAGGATTGGCCGCTCTGGTCCATAACTGGGGCAGTGACAAGGACAGCAGCAATAGCAATCTCCATGTGGCCATTCTCTATGCACGCAACACGGTGGGATTGTCCCATCACAAACACTTTTCCAATGCCGCACGAAGCATGGGGATGCACGTGTTTGGAGCGCCCTATGAAATCAATAATCCAGCATCACTCGACAAGGCCATTCAGAGTGTCATTGATTCGGGATACCGCTACATTTCCTTGGCTCCCGAGTTGGGAGGATTTGCTGGCATGGCACAACGTGCCTATGAGTTGGGGTTGGGAGGCAGTGGCCAGAGCCAAGAGTATGTCTTTTTGTTATCGGAAACCAACATGGAAATCATTAGTGCTGGCTATGCACTCCCACAGGCAACCCATTATGGAGCAGCATCTCTACTGAATGGATCTTCCATGGTCCTGGTATCCTTTCCTCCCAGCCAAGATTATCAAGATGCCATGCAGGAAGACTTTTTGGATAATCCACATGTCATGGACTATTACATCCAAAAGCATCCCTCCCAACAACTCTTTCTGCAGGAAGCCTTTAGCTTTGATCCCATACACGATGCATTGCGCAACAACTTTGCTGGGGCTTTGCAGTATTCCCAGTACGATGTTATCATGGCATTAGGACTGGCAGCCTGTCAAATGGAAGATCCATTCTTTACTGGCCAGCAACTCTTTCAAGCCATCAAAAACTTGACCTTTACAGGACTGACCACAAACATCAAATTCATGAATGAGACTTGCTCTAGAGACATGACCACATTGCAATACGCAGCCTACAACTTTGTGGCCAAACCAGTGGATGACAATGGCTTGATTCGATTCGACACCATTACCAATGCCCACATCCACTTGTATGCCAACACCACTACGGGCAAAGTCCACGAGGTGGTGGAAATCTTGGCTCCCTACACCTACCGAGATGGTACGGGCAATCCTCCAGCAAGTATCCCTCCTGTACACATGGAAATGAACCATGTTTCTCTAGGAGTGCAGATTCTGGGCTGGATCTTGGCGGCTTTGGTCATCATCCTGGCCGTGTCCTTGGCCGGTTGGACCTTTCTCCGACGCAACACACAAGTGGTCAAACAGAGACAGCCCATTGTAAGTCACGAAATGAATGCATGTATGTCCCACCAATCACAAAGTAAGCCATCATGACAACTCACATGTGCCTTTCTCGTCCAATACTCATGTAGTTTCTGTGGGTGTGCTGCATGGGTGCTATTCTCATGGCAGCGGCCATTATCCCCATGAGCCTCCAAGAGCCTGTGGAGAACTTGGATGCTGTCTGCATGTCCACGGTATGGCTCATTTCCGTGGGCTTTTCCACCGCCTTTGCAGCATTGAGCTCCAAGACATGGCGAGTGAACACAATCTTTCGACATGCCCAGCGATTCCGTCGCATACAAGTGAGAAATCGTGATGTTTCCCTGCCGGTGGTTGTAATCCTGGTCATCAATTTGACTCTGCTCTGTGCCATGCAAGTAGCAGCACCGCTGGTATGGGAACGTGTCGTGGTTCAAAACTTTGATCGATATGGTCGAGTCCAGGAATCGTATGGGACCTGTTCGGCTTCGAGTTCCACTACCCAGTGGCTATTAGGATCCATCTTTTTCCTCAACTTTGCCGCCGTGTTGTTGTCCAACATCCAAATCTATCTGTCCCGCAATTTGCCAGACGATCTGAGTGAATGCAAGGAAGTGGCCTTTTCCATGTTGATGCTGTTGGAAGTGTGCTTGGTGGGCATTCCAGTTCTCGCAGTGGTCCACGATGTGCCGACGGTCCGGTTTCTGATTGCCAGCTTGATCATTTTTGTGGTGTGCCTTGCCATTTGGGTACCACAGCTGCCCAAAAACCAGAAAGATCGACAACGAGTGTTCAAGGCCAGTCACGTTGCCAAAAGCTCCGACGCAACGGATTATCGTACCGGTATCCCCTCCTCTTCCGTACGATCATCCGAACGCAATCCTCGGAACGGTGGGGACGTTTCATCCTCCCGGACAGGTGGTGCCAGCAGGGGCAGGGCAGGGGTAAAGGAATCCAACAAGAGATGGCAAGAAGAGAAGGAGGCGGAAGAAACAGAGAACCATGAAATGATTCTGTAGCTAACTTTTATTTCTGAAGTATCACTCTAGCTAGCCAGACTATTGCCAGCAGACGTCGACCTCACTTTGGTTTGTCCCAGCCTCATTTTTTTTCATTCATTAGATCCTTGTGGTTAAGCCTTCAACATTGGTTATATCTTCAGGTATCGACGGTATTCAGAGCAACAGTCCCAAGAGGTTTTCAAAGATCAATTCCAGGCGCGTCTCACTGTTGATTGCGATCTTTCGAATGAAGCCAGATTTCGGCGACAGAATTCTTTAAAATTGAAGGCTCCGACAAGGCCATCACGAGTACTTGGTTGTCGTTGTTGTGGCTCGTGGACTGACTCACTCGGAAGGTTGGCTTCCAAGTTTTTATTAATGTTTTGATCAGCGGATTAGGACAATACTACCGGTAGAAGCAGAGGAAAGAGCTGTTGGACTGTCGAAAAGAAGATTGGGACTTGAAAAAGAAAAAAAGAGAGGTGCTAGCTAGCCAGTGTCAACAGCTCTTCGGTACCTACCATAGAACACACCATGTCACCGCCGCAAAGCCCCGACGAAAAGCTCCGCGACCAGGACATTCAATCCTTGCTGGAAGCGGGCGTGGGCATGATCCAATTGGAAGACTTGTATGGCCCCAAAGCGGTTCATAGAGTAGCAGAGGCGTATATTACGAGTAACCTTGACCCCACCGACGACAAGGACGCCAACAAGAAACATCAAGACCGTCGCTCCAAGTTGGCCACGTTACTCTTTCTACGGGCTCCGTCGTCGTCCCTCCAATCCATTACGAAAAGTTCCGATGTCGTGGACGCGGTCTTTGAAGCACTCGTGGCAGATCCAGAAGATCCCCTCTTGATGGATCCTCTGTTGCACACGCCTCTGCATGATCCCGTCGTACTGAGTTCCGGGATTATTGTCGATCGATCCACCGCCATGGATCCTGTCACGGGAAAACTGCGTCTCCACAAATGCCCCTATCGACGCATTCCAATCCACTTGCCCGTCTACGAAGTACTGCCACTGCAAGAACGCGTGCGAGAATGGGAACGGGCTCGATTAGAACGCTGTGTCTCGGTGGCGGCGACCATGGTAGCACACAAACAGTTCGAACGGGCCGAAAAGGTATTTACCATTTCTCATGGCTTTTTGCAAGAACATCAACATCGACTTGAAAAAATTGGAATGCACGCTGACTTGCAGCAATTGCAGCAGCAACAACAACAATACCCAACGAGTGCTACCAACAGTGGCGCTCCCAAGCATCAAGCCAGAGAAATTCTACTACTGGCCCTCCAGCTGGCCCAACTCGAACGGGAGCTACCCGGAGTCAAGGACGATGTCCCACGGACGGTCGACATTCATCGACGATTGATTGCCGTTGCCAAGGCTTGCAGTACCGACAAGGCGGATTTGGAGACGCTTGTCATGGCCTGTTTGGAGGATTGCTGGAAACGATGTTCCATTTTGTTGGCATTTGCCGGAAAGAATGCATCCGACAAGGCATTGGGCATCCGACATGCATTTGCCCCCATGATCAAATACACCACGCTGATGCAGTTGAGTTTGTTTGACGAATTGCAAAAGCTATGCCACTTGGATCTGACACTGGCCAAGCACGTGGAAGATGAACCCAGTATTTGGAACTGCCGGCGAGTCTTATTAAAGCTGTTGCCCGAAAAGGAACGGGCAGAATTCTTGCAAACCGAAGGCATTACCGGAGAGGAAGAAGATTTGTATTATCATCTCCTCTACGATGCATCGTTGTGGAATCAGGAAAAGTTTACCGATCCAGCCATTGGACTGGTTCATTTTGGCTCCAGTTCGTCCGCGGCAACACGCAACAGCAGCGACGAACACGATGATCCCGCGCCGACTGAAACCTCGGGCCTCCTTTGCAAGGTCAATCTGAATCCGCACCCCAAGGGCGATCATTGGATTGAAGTGGCCTTTCGACCCGACAATATACAATCTCCAGGACATTTGAATTCCATCTTGTCGCAGCATGGTGATGGTACCGGCTGGGAGATTCGCTGTGCGGTACGTCCCCGAGCTGGAATCAATTTTGGAAAAGTCTTTTTGATGCACAATCACAAGGTGGAGCGACGAGACTCGGGTGGGATTCATGTCGAAGCGCTTTGGACCACTACGAGTAAAAATAATGGGAAGACGCAACACAATGAATTCACCAACACCAAGGTGCCATTAGAGATTGGGACATGGTACCATGTCATCCTGGCTTACTGTCATGAGCTTGGCACGTTGTCGCTGTATGTGAATGGACAAGTGGTGCGTCGTCAAGTTACCGGCGACTTTGTTCCCTCCAAGGGACCCATGGCGCAGCCGCGAATGGGACAAAACATGCAATGGTTGGAACGACGATTTCAAGGATGGGTTGCCTTTGCAGGAGGAGGATACGAATTGCCCGTGAATGGCAATGATTTCGACGCGCTGGATGACTACGTCCAGAAACTCACCAAGGCGCGGTTGTCCAAACTGCCCAAGCAACCAGCCTTGCATCATCCCAAGGCGGAAGACGAAGAAGACACTAGTAGTGGTGTTGGAGACTCCATCAGTTGCATGGAGAGTATGAGTATGAGCAGTGCCAGCGCCTTGGGCTTTGAAGACGAGCACGAGCACGACGATAGTGCCAGTGATCACGACGGCCCAGAAGTTGTCTAACGGTCAAAGGATGCTCATCGCTTTGAAACCAGACCATCGGAAAGACTCTCCAGCTGTGAAAGCTTGGGCCTTCTTCCTATATGCATGGCTGTTGCCATGCTCGCACGCAGCTTGGATTTTCTGTACATATTGATTACATTTACGTTCGGAGGCCGGTTTAGAGACACCACCGGCCTGCATGCTATATACTAATAGGACGGTACGAGCTGTACTGCTCCTGACCACGTTGTACATAGACGAATTGATTGCATCACTTTCTATATCTACTGCCGCGGTACGAAAGTATTCTTCTTCATGTAGGTTTTGCCCATGTCATCAACATTGACATTCATGTTTGGTTGTCAATTATAAAAGCACCCAGCAATGCACACAGCAGCCCCTTCATTGCTCAAATTGTAAGGAACCCTTTCTGCCCCAAGGGTGCCATTTTCCAGTGGAACATACTGGACTTGTCCTCGCAGTCATGTTGCATCCCTCATACCGTATTCTAATGCAACCACGCTGAGCACGGCAGCCTGCTGCGGCTTTTGTGAATCGAATCCAACAAATGTCAGTTCTAAAGTTGTGGGCCAGCAACAATGGCATTCAGTGTCGTCCGGGATTGCTGTTCTTGTGTATCCAGCAATTTGATTCCTGGGAGAACCCAAAAATGTTGTCTGTGGTGGGCCCAATCTCTTTGGACAGGGGTACTTCCACATAGTTCACTGTGGGGAAGAGTTCCATGGTTTGTCGTACTCGTTTGGTGTAGGCCTCATAGTAGTCAAACCACATTAATTTAGTGGCACGAGGATGAGGCGTGACACCCTTTTTTCGGCAGCCGGGGTGACCGGAAAACTTTTTATCCATGGCGCTCCAGCGATGCAAAGAGGCATGCCAGGATGATGGCTCACGAATTTGTAGCAAAACAGTGCCGTAGGGGTATGCCTTTGCAAATTCTTCCAGACCTCCTTCTAGTACTGGAAAGTAACAGCCATGAGTGATGTTTCCCCCACTAAAGATATTGAGCTGGGCAAAGACTCACCATCGTCCACAATTCTCCAGAGGAGGACGTTGATCCAGCACGTTGGCATGGAAGCACTGGCCAATATTCATAGTTTCTCCAGTGTGTTGCCGCATGGTCCATTGATGTGCCGCAGCATCGAAGCCCATGGCACAGTTAAAGTAATCGGTAGCTGTTGTTGTGCCACTCTTTTCCATGCTTGCCACAAGGATGGGGAACGTGATGTCATTTGGCCTTGGAAGGTTTTCAGCAATGGTTTGGACCCCTTCAGGCATTTGGACATTGTACAGGGGTATGTTGCCTTTGGTTGAATCCACCCAGCAGTGGGGATCGATTCTCAGCTTTGTTTCTAGCTGATCACCAATGGTTGTGGCTGGGTTGGTCAGGTCAATTTCGATCAATTGCCATCCTGCATGTTTTGCTACAAAATCACGCAAGATCTGATGGTACCTGTTGTAAAAGCTCATGTAGTGGTCAAGTTTGTGTTCAGTAGGAAACCTGCCACCATGAGATGGGTTTTAAGGTTGCACCATGTGGACCACCGTTCATGAATGTCATAGGGGAGTCTTTGGAACCATTTTTTAGGTTGTTGTATCATGTTGATAATTATTCCATTGGGCATTGCCTCATACAATGCCTCCAGCGCACCTGGATGCAGGACCGGATCAAAGCAGAGCTCAGTTGTAATGAAACGCCTGAAGGGTGAACGAGATTCAAACCATGCCAAGTCTTGCCAGATATTGTAGTCGCCACAATCTTGCATAATGGGTTTGTGACCTTGGAGATTCTCGAGCATGCATTTGCCAATCGGTTGGCGCAATTTGGAATCTCGAGTTAGGTTGGTGCAGTAGCGCCCAAACTTGCTGGGAGGACGTCCTCCACAGCCAAAGTACCGAGGAAGAACAGGTTGGTTCGTGCTTGGAAGACTCAGCGAGATGATGGTTGCGTTGGGAATGTAAAGTTTGTGGGGCAGTGCATCAGCTGTGACATTTTCCTTCAAATGCTCATCTTTGTCCTTTTCCTCCAATTTCACCTGTTTACCTTCCTCACCATCTTTCTTTGGTTTGCCCATTTCCTCATTGGCGGCTTGTTGGGTAGGTTTGCGCGCGTTTTGGAGAAAGGCATCCAAATGATGGCGGTACCGGTATCCACAACTTGCCATGGCAAACAAGACACATCCTAGGAGCAACAGAACCTGTCTGGTACTGCTCTGGTTGTGCTTTGTTCGCTTCTTTTTCAATTTCGATCTCCTCATGGCCTACTGTAAACGATGGCTGCAACAGTTCGTGTGATGGACTGACTGTCACTCGACTGTAACCGACAGTCGATAACGCACTTGCTCTTTACTGGCTAGTAGCTAGCTAGCTACAGTGTAGTACTACGTACCACTGGCTACCGGTAGCTAGCTAGACTACCTAGTAGTACTGTACTGTGTGGATGAAATAATGAAAGACGGTCACAAATTTAAAAATGACCATTGCGCCAATTTTTCTGAAGTCTTAGAGCGGTAGTCTGCTCAAGGATTCCACAGTACGACTATAGGTTACTATTTTTGGAAAATTACCTGTCTGAACAAAGAAAAAAGTCCGTTTTCTGGAAAAATTGCTCGAGCACAAAATTCAAAAAAAGCCAATGACAGCCTCACAAAACCAAAGCTTCCAAGCATCGAACGGCGAGACAATGAGAATGATTGGCTTGACCAAACCCAACGAGTCCACCCTGACTGTGTATCGGCTGTTGGGTCGTTTCTGTGGCATTGCAGTGTTGGGTTGTTGGATGTGGTGGCTGTTGGGACGAAAGGATGTCATCCTTCTCGTTTGGGCCTTCACCGCGGTGTGCTCTATTTGCTCTCTCATGTTGTTCTTGATGTTTGTCGCTGGAGCTTTGGAAGACATTTTGTTGCTGACATGGGTTCATCCTGACAAGGCGGTGGACTGGGTCGTTGTCGGTCGATATGCCCAAGAGACGCCATTGGGTGTCTTGTCGAGTTGGATGGGAACCATTTTGCACCGAGGGCGCGACTGGTGCCACAAAATGGAGGGAGAGTACTTCTACACCGAGGACGAATTCATCCACGAGGCAATGGACATTGACAACTAGTTAGAGCTACCAGTTGCTAGTGCTACCAGTTGCCGGAGACGGGAGGAGTCGAGGGCAAGAACAGATCTCGTTTGTCGACAAATCAGATTGAGAAGACTCGGTCCCGCGGAGGTTGAGATACAAAAAGTCGATGGTGAACATCGAAAGGCTACAGCATCGGCAGCCTTGGCTTCAAGCCGATAGAGAATGGAAATAAACCTACTGTAGTCCGAAGAAATCTCCTGGATATTGCACTCGTCTCAGCTGGAGCTACGTCGGTCTCGACCCAGATCCCGCAATCGTGCCCTTGCTCTTTACTACGGTACCGTAGCGTAGTGCGCAAGAGGCTCTCCAAGTGCAACGAGTGCGGCTCCTTTGAACGAACTTTTGAAAGAATGACAACGCTGTACACGCACGAGAATGTATGTTTGGACAAGAAGACGGTCTACGTCTCTCTCCATGCTCTAGGGAGGATTGCGCACGGGCTCTTCCACAAGACAACCCGTGGCTTCTACGGTACTCGAGTCTCAATCAACAGCACAAGATTCACCTTCCGGTCAAGCAACATTTCAGTTCTTCTAGCTAGTGACCGGAGTTCATTTGATATCTTTTGGTAGAGCACTCTGGTGTGCGCAGAGCCAGGATCCCAAGTCTTGTACTCGTAAATGACAGTGGAAAGTGCTACGATATAGCTAGACCAGCAGTCTTCCCTTTCCACACTATTTTGTCCAGTATTCAAGTTCGTTTTGTACGCTACGGCATCTATGCTTGGTGTATACATCACGAGTTGGTTGCAGTTTGCTATTGCTGATTGCTGCCAATTTATTCTGGTCCTTCTCCTAATCTTCTTCTCTCTCTTTTGTCGCAGGTAACTACTTTTTCTTGAGAATCACGACAGTCATCGCCACATTGTCATCGGTTTCCGCGAGTTTCCGAATGCTGTGAACGACCAATCCATGTTCTCGTGCACACTGCAGATGCAGTTCGGTATTGCTGTCTTCCCCCAAACTACCATCCTTGCCAATGGCCAGGGTCCCATCAGGTTTCAAAATGCGATGAATTTCCTTGAGACTCTTTCCCAGATCATGGACGTGATCCAGAACATCCAATGCCATGACGACATTGGCAGAATTGTCGGCCAACGGCAACCCTTCCGCTCCTGCCAGACGCCATTGAAAGCGGGTGAAATCAAAGGTCGGGCACATGGATTGGGTCTGTTCACGCGCAATTTCCAACATGCGGGCCGTCGGATCCACGCCCATGAGTGTAACTTTGGAAGTTTGCAATTCCTCCGCAATATGCCGCAGCGCCGTGCCGGTACCACACCCGATGTCGACCACCATGGAGTGACATGACGAGAGAAATCCTTGTTCGATCAAGTAATCCACCGCCACACGGTTCGTCGCGGAATCTCCGAAATTGGCGGCATACCAATCGGCGGTCTCGGCAGTCCAGACTGGGGCCTCGCCAGTCTCCGACACAGTGTTAATGGTGCTATTGTCGGTTGTTGTAGCGTTGTCAATGTCCATGGTGGCTTGTTGCTTTCTTTAGAAGATCGGGTTACCAGATCTATCTTTGTGGAAGCGCGGACTGAACAGCTCTGGATCTGTGTTTGAGAGTGGACACCAGACGTAGAGGGTTTCGTCAAAATGAACTCACAGCTTAGAGGGATTATCGGGGAGACACCACCACTAGAACACACAGGAACAACCGCGAAACGACAAAGGTGTTTTTGCCTTTAATTAAATAAGTGGCACGTGGTTCCCAAAAATGCTGCTTGATTTAAACAAAAATCTTCCTCTCAGGGTTCGAGTGCTTGCTAGGGTTAAGGCTAACTGCCAAAGCGGAAGAGAAATTGCAAATCTCCTCCCTCTTTGATAAGATCACGGTGACAATTATTGGTGGCTAGCTGAAGCTACTAGTATCTCATGAGCTGGGCACAAGCAATGGCAAGGCTGAACCGGACATTGACATAGCGGTGCGACACTGAATACTGGCTTGTATGGCTGAGACCGATTTTGACAACGAGGATCGATGCTTCGCCAGCTTCTCAGGTTGCAGAGATGAGCAAGTCAAAAAAGGGAGCAACGTGGCTGGTCGTTTTTGACCGGACACCTAGCTAGTGGTTTCAGACGCATCTTGTGGTGTCTATCTTGACCTTGACAGGATGCAACGTAAGAAGAAAGCAATCCGGCATCTTCCCGTGTAGTTTCTGATCTCAGGACTGACGATCCATCCTGAGGTTTGCATTGTGATACTTGCCAGTTCCATGTGCCATCTATTCGGTAGTATCGATTGACAAGGTCAAAGAAAGCCATGAACCTTGAAAGGGTCGGGACTACAGTATGTAGGGCATGAAAGCCCACAAGGTCACGGAATGGGAGGGGGTCCTGAAATAGGTGCAACAAGTGCGGTGGTACCGTATTGACCCGAACTGCACCCGGAGTGACAGTCCAAGCAACCGGGCAGGGAAGATCGTACTAGTAGTTGTCATTTCCACAGCATAATTTATCATCGCAGTGTCTTTGATGGAGTGGCATTTCCGCCTGCTTGGAATAACTCGACTGGGTACCTAGCTTGTATCTATCTTAGGACTGAGTGAGAACAACCATCGTCATTGGTAGCAACGGCTCGCACGATCGATAGAAAGGTACCTAGTAGTCGCGTTACTTACCGGTAACCGGTACTGGTGCAAGGACCCGTACACATCACAAAACATCGCGCAAAACTCTACTAGTAGATCTGCGTGTCCCATGTCTGGTATCATAGAACACAAACAACGGCTTGACAGCAAGCTAATAGAAGTCAGTAAAAGCATACACCATGGCTGATATTGCTCCCTTTGTAGCCGCCACCCTCCGAGACAAGGTGGTGGCGGAAATGGAACAAGAGATTCAATCGCTACGCCGTCAATTAGGTTTCAGTCGACGCATTGAAATCCTATCCGTCTCCTCGTCCATGGAAGAGAGTACCAGCAGCATCGGTCTGGATATTTCTCAACGGTATTCCGGTATCAGAAATGGCGGTGCCAGTGCCGTGGTTCTGGCGCAAGGACAAATCGAACAAGGGAGCTACGATAACGGTGGTAGTTGGATGCGTGTGGAGTTATCGGGGCCCACAACAGCTACCCAAGAGGAAGAAGAAAAGGCATTGAACCTGGAGGAGGACGATTGCAACCACGGAAATTCCACTGGCATTCCCTTGAGTGAACTCTGCAATCTCCGCATTTGCGTGGGAGGACTCCACCAGGGTCAACTCTCGTCCATTAGTGATTTCAGACCCGATTTTGATGCTACCCTGGGCAACTCGGAACATTCCAAGGGTGTCTTGTTGACGGCCCAAAGCAAGCAACTGGCGGTCCAAGTTGTCGTCCATGGATGGCCCGTTCAAGATTGGGGCGAAATTGCCATGGCCAATACGCACAGCCAAGATGCCTTGGATTATTTGGCCTTGACGTTGCCCTCAAGGTATCCGCATGCCACGGTATCCTTTCCGGCCGCCTACCTGTTTACCGATGTCAACAAGGGCGCCATTCGCAATCTACCCCGCAACGTACGGGCCAAACTCGAACAGGGATTGGAAGAATCGCAATCGCAGTTCTTGTTCCTCAAATTGGTCACCAATCGATTGCGGTTTGTGCTGGATGATGACAATGAAAATCCGGATGCCTTGGTCCCACAAGTTCGTCGTGTCATGGATGCCTTGGCCATGTTGGATATCCACAATCTGCAAGACTTGGATCAGGGACAGAACAAGCAGACCATGGAGTATCTTATCCAAATGCACAAGATTTCTCTCGATTGTGGACAACAGCAGGGAACCTTTGAGGCATGTATCAATGGATTGCTGTTGCAGAAACAGCGCAAGCTAGAACAACAACGACAGCGGGGATTGGCGAAATAAATTGGAGCAGAGACCTGACCTGCCAACCTTGGCGACACGCACTGCAGCACCATGGCTTGCCCTATCGACAATCTACAAAACCAAACCTGTTGGACTTGAGAGCCATCTCGTACTATAGAAGAGCACTCAGAGCTCGCCTTGATGCAAGGACCTGGAGGAACCGTTCATGGCGATCCTACAAGCAGATCCCTGCTGTATCTTTTGACATCAGTTTTAATTCTATAGAGTTCATTCGTTAGAAGTTCAATGGGTAGGGCATTTTTGCGGATTTTTGTGGTAGTTGTTGCGGAGGAATTGAAACAGGAGCGGGACATAACAAAAGTCCCATAATGCCATCGTATTAGGATAAACGATATCTCTGGCGAGGCGGTCATAGATCTTGTCTTCTTCAGCTGAAGCAAACTTTTCTTGATAGCTCTTGTAGATCTCAAGGACACGATCGGTCGTCATCACCTCTCCTTTGGGACGAATCGTCTTCAACTGCCTTTGAAGTGCCTGCATGAAATACTTCAAACCGCCACGAAACTCGTCCTGATTCTCCTCTTTAGACGTTCCTGTTGCGTCTCGGTATTGAAGCGCCATGATGACTCTGCACGCATCCTCTGCTTCAATTTTATCAATGGCTCTTCCAGTCGAATACTCCACGTCCTTCCCGTTGCTGTCTGCAGATGCATACTGGCTTTCACCATTCTCTATGTCTTGAATCACCTTGTAAACCTTGGCCATAGATGGGCCAGTTGGGGAGGAAGCGGCATGCCCTTGAAATGAATCAATGTCAATAGAGTTGATCAGGGAAGGGATGAGATCGAAATCGAGGCAAGGGTTTGGTGCAATGTTGGATGATAGCCCAATAGCTCCGGCCTCGATGGTCTTGGTGACAAATCTGACATTTTCAACAAGTTGTTCATGTCTAATCTTGAGCGCCTTGCAAGCTGCATTGTGCCCCTCACACCAGCTCTTGCGTTGGCATTCTGGGCCACAGTACCTTGCAACATCACAGCCACTGCATTTGAAGACATTCTTGTCGTCAATGTCACATTCCCAGCAACGGAGGTGGTCACTATCATGGCCATGTTCAAGACCTATGCAAGCAAACAGAGCATGGGCAAACTCTTTCAAGAACGGCTCTCGAGCTGGGCCGCGTCTCATCTGGTTGGCGAATGCTTCTTTTATGCGGATGTGCTCGTCCCATATTGAACCGAAACGATCCAAGGTTGTCTTGTAAGCTTGTGAATGGTGACCAGGACCATGACCTGTCACCCCCACAATCACTTCCGTCCAATTCTCGACCAAACGATCGTGCTCTTGTTGGAAGGCGGCAAGTTGAACTTCGTATCCGGTGGAAACATTATCTTCCACGGGGGGGTCGAAATGTCCCATGTTACTCTTCACCCATTCGCCCAGACCTGCTTCATCGAGTGGACTTTTAACGCAACGGAAGGACGTTTTCAGAGCTTGCGCGAGCTTCACAATCTCAATGATCAAACGATGGTCTTGTTCCTCGTTTGCTGCATTGAACGTTCCAAATGCCATCTTTGCAAGTACACCAGCAAAAATGGAGCAGAGCTCTTCGACGCATCCGTCATACGTTCGCAGCAACCTTTCCTTCCCAATTCTCTCTGTTGCAAGGTCGACAACTACTGTGCGCCAGTATACGCTGCCTTGCTTGATGCCCCGGATCGTTTCATCCGACAACACCTTGTATAGGTTGTTGGCCTTTAGCCTTTTGGGCTTCTTATTGCTGGAGCGGTGCTTCGCTTGCATCTTAACTTTACAGAAAGTGAGTTCATGCTTCGCGAGACGTATTGTGCTGGTGCCAACGTGCAACACGCTACCGGTACCTGGTATGTACCTGTACCGGTACGGTACAAAGAAACGAAGCAGTCTCAGTCATAAACGGAACGGAATTGAGGAGCATAGAAGTGATTGCCTTGATGGGCCATTCAAACATAGAACGCATTCGAGGAAGTGGCTCAACGCATAAGCAACAATTTCTTTGATATTGGTGGAACGAATGGAGACGACTATTTAGCCCGTTACGTTGAGAGTTATTTGTCTTTTAGGTCACGGGAACGAAAAGCAAATTGCAAAGCTCGAAGAAAACCCCCGATGATGTGACACATGACTAGGTACTGTACTCGTAGTTTCCAGCAGATGGATGAATCCTTGCTATTCGTGTGCTTGGTTTACTCGTAGACCCAAGAGTCCACAGCCTTGTTCCAGTCCTTTGCAATCGAATCAAATGGATGACAAACGGAGAAAACCACATCAAACGTAAGCCATGTGCAAAGAAAGGGGCTGATCAAAGCAATCGCATTGGTACTAGCTACGGTAGTACTTACATTGACTCCCTCGGGGAACCACATCTTGAGCTCGTGCGCAGCACTCTCGGGAGAATCGGATCCATGGCAAATGTTCCTCCCCAAATCAATGGAGTAATCACCCCGAATAGATCCAGGCTTGGAAGCAAGGGGTTGAGTTTCTCCCAACATTTGCCTTCCTTGCTTGATGCTGTTGCAGCGTGTGTGATGATTGTTGGGTAGATAATAGGGCAGGTTGTTGAGAGAGAGAAAATATGTCAGTTTGACCATGCATGTAATCCACAACATCAATTTCCCATCGTTTCTATTTTCATTCATCCACTCACACATCCTTTCCTTCAATGCACAAGCACACAATGGGTCCCGAACTAAAGAACTTGACGAGACCCGGGAAGAAGGGCTTTTTGCTGAGATCGGCGTAGTGAGCTGCCGCCATTTCCTCGGTGGGCCAGATCATTTTCAAACCGACAATTTTGTATCCACGCTTTTCAAATCGAGCGATAATGTCCCCAATCAATCCTCGTTGGACGCCATCGGGTTTGACCGCCAAGAAGGTGCGTTCCTGGTTGGTACCTGCCTTGCCCCAGACCGGTAGAGCCTCGCACTGAACACTTGTTTGACTGGCGGCAGCAACTGCAGCCACAGTGGCGGCCCCAGCGGCGAGCCAAGCTGTATTGGTTTTGGCCACGGCAGGAGCAATGGTCTAGTAGGCAAAGAAGAGAGCGAAAAGAAATGGGGAGTCAGCGACAGCTGTTGTGTGAGATTACAAAGTGAACCGTACTTCTACACAAATCTGAATCGAATGATTCCATCGGCAAAGGTGGAGCCACCTGCTATCCTCTCAGATATCGTACCGAGAGAGAACGAGCTGCCGAAACAGAGAGACGGGAGCGCGCAATGTTGGCGAATCTGGAGGAACCGCGGGCAAACATCTTTGATCAGGGGATGGATGAAGACGAGGCGATGTCTGCAGACTGATTGAAACAATGAGGTGGATGAGACGGCCGTTGATGTGCCTCGGCACTGCAAAAGAGGAGCGAGAAAGATCCAAAAGATACTACGAAAGGGTTAGAGCTAAACGCGAGATAACGGTCAAATCTCACTGGTTTCTCTTCGCCCCTCCAATCCCGTCACTACTGTACCAGTGGTTGCACTCACGCAACCAGTCATCGACAACTCGCCACTTCCACACTTCCACATTCCAGAGGCGTTGTCGCCATCGAACATCCCGCCCAGTATCGGACTCTTATTGTTGATCCTCCACAGATGTTTCCCTGCCTGCGAAGAGTAGAAAATGACAACAAGGATGACACCATTGAAGAGGTGAACCAAGGAATTGTGGCAGAGCCACACTTGCCAAGAAGGTACAAGGGTCGAGGAGGGAAATGGGCCTGCAAAAATTGTGTGACCATTGTGGAATTGCCCACAGGAAGCTATGCATGGGTCTGTGAAGGGTGTGGGAAGAAGAATTATACACATCCCAGCAAGGAATGTCCACTGGAAAAAGCCAGGAGGTTTGTTGTGGGATCCCACAACTCAGTATGAATTGAATGATCAATCGAATCAATCGCCAATGTTGATTGGTGAAGGAATCTACCAACAAGTCAAGTTTCTTTCTTCATCGAAAATCACACAATCTCTGAATATAATAGTATCATTAGCTAGCACACTTATTTATAGACCTAAAAAGCTACGTAGCTAGAAGGAAAGTCAAGCGATGAGGGACACCAGCCAGCCAGTTATTTGTGTTCCATTCCAAGGGGACTCTGGGATTTTGATGGCGGGTCTTGGGCGTACTAAAAGATTTGCAAAAGGACTTTGAGGTAGCCAAAATATAGTAGTATCGCGGCAGACTCTTACCACTGTGTATGGAGAGCGAAGTTGAGTGAAACTGCTTTTGTTTGCCCATCTTTGCATCCCGTACGAGAGGAAAAGAAGCAGCAGATAGCAGCTCCTGGAAGAATGAGTGAACAAGTAATGTTTTGGGAGCAGAGAATACCTACTTGGTGATCACCGGCGGCCGAGATGGAAGATTGATGGCGAGGCAAAGGAGCCGAAACCTGAGTACATGCATCATATCTCCAGACCAGACGCTCCTTTGTCCTTTGTGCTCCCAGAGCCATCAGCCTGGTCCCAAGGATTACTTCATTTACAGGTCTTCCCTTTTAGAAGCTTGGCCAAAGTTGGCTTTCTTATGTAATATAAGTACCACTGTCCACCGTGCCGCTACCCTAAACCGATAACCCCCACAAACATTGGCGCGGAGAGGGTTGACCCCCTCACACGCCACGGCCAGCGTACAACCTTTTCAAGACTTCCAAAGGGTCAGGGCTAACGAACCAGTACACCATTAAGGTTCGCGGTTTCTTCAGACAGACATGATGAACAACGACGAAGCAGGACAACGAGCACCCCAACAGCGGCCATCAAACAAAAAGCAACCCCTTCCGAACGGCGGCTTCATCTACACCATCTGAGCTTGCTGCTGTTCCTCTTCCGAGTCTACCAGATGTATCACGTATTGGCTCCCTTTGTGCTGCCCGAGAAGAAAGTAGAAGAGGACGACGACGACGACACAATGTCCAACGAAGACGAGGTGAACCAAGGAGTCGTTGAAGAGCCACGCTTGCCCAAGACCTACAGGGGCAGAGGGGGCAAGTGGGCCTGTGAGAATTGCATGAAAGTTACTGAATTGCCCAAGGGAAGCTTTACATGGGACTGTGAAGGCTGTGAGAAGAAAAATTTTACCCATCCCCTCAACGAGTGTCCGCTGGAAAAAGCCAGGAGGTATTTTGTGCGGTCCAAGCGCTAGAGCTAGCTAGTACCGGGTACTATGTTGAATTCTTAGTTTGGATGAAAGCAAGAGCCACACAGCCAACTCTTGGTTGGCGGAAGAAACAATCAGCAAAGCGTTGCCATGATTCCTCTTTTTAATTCGAAGAAGAACACAATAATCCACACGAGAATGTATCGAATCAGGACCCTTATTAGAAGGATTCAATAGAAAGGAGCACTGCATCATTCAATCCGATTTTAAACGAATGGTGGCTCCATATGACTTTTGGAATTACTCTTTGGCTGCGTGGTTACAGCCCAGCGCCATCAGCTATGTAGTTTGCCAGTCATGATGTATAAGTTGCTCTCAGGTTAGTCCTCAGAAATCTAAATAGTAGATCTTTTAGAGGAATTGCACTAAAGACCGATAACAACAGCTATCAACTAGAAACAGGTTACTTTGTGTACCGGTATGTACATTGACCAACTTTATGTTTATAATCTACAGGTAACTGAATGTAAAAACACAATCCGGGTAGCTCCTCTCTAGTAACAACAAACCATTCCACAAAAGGTAGGGACATCTTCGCCTCCTTGTTCCTGAGTGGCAATTTCTTCAGCCTCTCTGACGAAGGATTCTTTTAGCCGTTCCAAGAGAAGCACATCTTGGACGGCTTCTTGCACCAGCCCACTGACAACTCGTTCCTGTGGCGACGACGTGGAAACTGCAGTCTCACCAAAACTGGTAGAGGCAGCAGCAGAAGTACCCAACACTTCAAAGGCGGTGTCAAAGCACTGAACTCCAAATAGTCGTTTGCGTTGCCGCAACCACGTCGCGAAAATGGCATTATCACCATGAGACGGTTCTCTCCCCACTTTGCCACGACCACGACCTCGCCATTTCTTCTTCTTCTTGGAGGAGGAGGAACTCTTAGCGTTGTTGTTATTATTGTCACTGCTGTCGCCTAGTTGTTGCTGAATTTGTTGCAGTTCCGTGTAAGTTTCAATCTCCTCCTTGACAGCCAGCCATTGCTTGTGAAAGGAAGCAAGAGCGGTGTCTGGTTCCATTGGCAACTCCGATTTCTCATATTCCTCCAATATGTAGTACAGGTCTAATCCAAACTCTTCCTGTCGAGCCCTAATCTCTTGGTCTACGTCCCAACACCTTTGTTTAATGTCGGCTGTGGGAGACATGTCTGCCACCACCACTCCCGGTATCGGCGGTGCGGGGGGTTCCAACGGCTCTGGCTTTTGCTTTTCTTCTGCCACCCACTTGTCAGCATTCGCCACCTTTCGTTTCTTCCGTCTCGTAGTGGGTCGACAGAGAAGGCGCATTGTCGGTCGGTCCTTTGTTTGGCTGCCCTTATGACACAACTCTATTGCGTTTTTAGGTTTTGACGCAATGTGCTTTTGATTATTCGGTAGAGGGGAAAAGGCACCCAAGAGCACCTCGAAATGAGGATAACGCTGGCGATCTTTTCGGCCAGTTTTATGCTGAAACGACGACATGGTGTCCGTTGCTGCGCGTTGTTGCTCATTGTGCGCACCTTGACTTTTGACTCCCGCACCTGGAAGCATGTCCGTGCTCCTTTCCTGAGCGAGTATCACGAAAGTGTGTCACGGAAGTGGTATCGAACATTTTGTTGCACTCACATCACCACTCTTCTGTTGAACTTCCCACCCTCTTCTGTTCCCCTCTGTTTTAAAAAGAAGTCTAAAAACAAATTATGAGTGAAGATTTGGTGGAGTATCCTGTCAGGTGCCACTGCGGTGCCGTCAGTGGACGCTTCAAGTACAAGCCTGGGAAAGTAATAGCATGGGACTGCAATTGTTCGGACTGCAACATGAGGAAGAATACGCATGTGGTGGTTCCAGAGCACAACTTTTGGCTCACCATGGATTGTCCGCTGGAGGAAGCTACCATTTTGTATCTGTGGGGCACGAAAACGGCCATTCGAAGATTCTGCAAGACCTGTGGAGTACTACCTTGGTACAGGCCCCGGTCCAACCCCGATGGCGTTGCCATTACAATGCATTGTGTGGACTGGACCGATGGAGGAACAAGAGAAGCCCCCGAGCTTGAGATCAAGACATTTGACGGAGTGAATTGGGAAGAGACAATCAAGAGTTCTTCCATCAAACAGGAATCCAAAGTCTGATTCCATTCCTTTGCTTGAAGTTTGACTAAAGCGACACATCTTCTGTTCCTCTGTTTTTCAAAATTAGTTTTGCTGCAACTCTATTGGTGCCTTCCCCTCATTACAGTGCATTTTGTGAATATGCAAGCTTTACTAGCACACCTACATGGCACCTGGACTGAAACAAACAGGGACAGGGTACTCTTCTCAGTTTCATACTCCTATCATACCTGACACGACCCAAGTTTTCTACTAGCTAGACTGAAGGATCATTGGACACGGTATTTATTCTATCCCTCCTATTTATGCTTGGGCATTGCTCCTACTATGCACCTGATAATGATAAGGTTTGTGGTTTCTCTTTCCTAACAACGTTCCGTTGCAACACTCCCAGTAACTTGGAGTATCCTCCCCCCGATTCCAGAAACCCATCGGCTTGCGCCGCAAATACCATGTCGGCATCGGGCGACTGTCCCAGACGCAACGTCACTGTGACATGGGGCCAAATGGTTTGAATGTACCCTTGGAGTGCACGCGCATACAAACAACTCTTGTGGCATGTGCGAAATGGTTCCGGCAAGATGAAATCGCCCCGATGGGCACTTCCCATGAGGACCACATGCGTGTAGTTTTGTTGTAGGAGTTGTGTGGTATAATACGACAGTGGTCGCACATAGGCATTGTAGGGTTCCTTAAAAGGTGGGTATTCGGGATGTTCCCACGGATTGCTGCAACAGCCCTTTTGCGTTTTGGATTTTCGTCTCCAATAGTATCGTTGTTCTTGGAGTAGTTCGGAGACGGAATCGGCAGCGGCCGAATCAATGACATCGCCCAGTCGAAGATGAATCAGGAGCGTGTTGGGTGGTGGTGAATTGTCATGATGATTGTCATTGTTGTTTTGGTGTGACAGTCGTTCCTGGACGACATGTGTGAGAATTTTATATTTCTGAGCTTTGTAAATGGCCGGGTCGGACATGTCAAAATTTTGCGTGGCATAGTTGTAGAATTCTTCCATGATGCTCCCTTGTTTTTTGTAATTTTGATGCCATTTGTCTCCTCCCCACGCCTGGACTCGTTTGAAAAAGTCTCCAAAATTGTAATGATCCCATTCGTGCGGAGGATAGAATTTCTCCATTTCCTCAACAGAGCACAGGTTTTGATTTTTGTTGTTCTCCACCCAATAGACCAGAGCATCAATCGCCGTATGGGACCAGTTGCAGTGGGATAAAAAGGGGGATGTAGCAGTGTCATGAGAAGAAGAAGAAGGCGTGGTGATAGGTGTGGTGGTGGTGGTTTGATTACAGAATAGATCGTCGCAGCGACACTCCTTCCATTCGTCTTGATGGTCCATTCTTGCATTCTTATTATTGACATGTTGCTGAGACGAATATTCCAGGACACTGAGAAACATGCTGTGGCACTGCTCGGGACAGCTTTTGGTTATGTTTAGAGCCAGTCCTCGTGGAGAAAACGACGCCAAATGTTTTTGGGTCCACAGAAATTCTCTGACAATCACCACAATGGCAAACGCATAGACAAAGTACAACTTTCTCATGTGGCTTGCTCTTCTTTGGTTCCTGCTATCGTCGTAGCACTCGTGTTACCGTCGAAGCTTCATCGTCGTTGTCCTCTTTGTACCGGTATCCAACCTTTCATGTGTGGATGGTGGCTGCACGTTGGTTGTTGTTTCCTTGACAGCTGCATCACTTTTACTTCGTCAGCGCGGATCCTCTTGGATCGCCTCGCCCGTTCAACACTCAGTTGCTGAGTTGCTGAAGGGAAGGAGAGAAATAACTGGCAAGATGGTACTTAACAATAGAACGTGGGAATGACTGTCATGTATTTTCGTGAAGGGTCATACTTACTTAACTAAAATATTTTTCGTAAGCCGCAGCGTGTCTCAAGGATTAACAAACACGGTCATTACTGACGTGACTTCAACGCATTGCTGGATCGATAAAACCGCCATGCACCACACCACCACACCATACCAACAAAAAGCCTGGCAGTTGCAGTCAGTTTAGACGACGAACGCTTGCAACAACAACCACCAAACAAACAACCACAACAATAACAACCATGGACACATCGAGTGTGGTAACCTCGTCTGCCGTGAGCGTGACCCGTTCCGAGGCTCCCTCTATATCTATTTCGGTTGCTCAGAGTGAACCAGGAGCTCTCATTGATCGCAGCAGTCGTCGAAGTACCGAACGAAGACGGCGTCGGACTACCTTGAAAAAGAGTTTGAGCACTACCTCGTTGGATGATGGAGAAGAAATTGTTGGCAACAACAAAATGAGTAATGGGAGCAGCAACAGTAACAAAAAGAGACTTTCCTCCCGCAATAGCTCTGCTATGGGAAGTAGTAGCAGTCGCCGCACTGGTTTGAAGAAAAGTCAAAGTCTGTCGTCGATGCAAGCCGCCATGCATTCGAGCAGCCGGATGCACGGTGGCATGCAAAAATCACGTTCGCGACGACAATTGCAGGGCAGCAGTACGGCACTGATGTTGAGTGCCAGTGCCCGTGATACACCGGAAGGAGCCGGACGACGATCCAGTCGACGCACTACTACCACAGAAGAACAACAACCTTCCAAGCGAAAAAGTTCGAGTCAACGACGAAAAAGTTCCGACGATGCCGTAGATTCGTCTCGTCGACGTCGATCGCGCAGTCGAAATGGACGCCGTCGTTCCTCCGTGACACGCAAACGCAACAATACCACTGGAGAATTGAAAACCAAACGCAACAGTGCTAGCAGTAATTCCGATGGCGCCGCTGCCAAGAGCAGTAGTAAACGACCGTCTTCTTCCAAGTCAACCACAACGACTACGTCTACTGCTAGTAGTTCTGGTGGTGGTGACCTAAAGGCACAATCCCAACATGGCAGCGGCAGTCGACGTCGATCCAATCGTGATGGAGACATCAAGGCCAAATCCTATCATGCATCATCATCGTCTCGGCCTCGATCTGCATCGGCCACGAGACGCAAATCGTCCAGCACGGCCAAAAAGAGAATTTCGTCATCCGCTCGCAATAACAATACCAATCCACCCCCCAAACAACAAGATCGACACTCCATGATGGCCATGTCGGAAGTGACTCATCGGACACGTTTGTCGCCGTCACCACGAGCATCGGCACCCCCAGCATCCTTTCATCAATCCATCAATTTTTTGAACAACGAGCCACAACAACATTCCCGTCTTTCGCGACGCGAAATGGTCAAACGACAATCTGCCCGGAACATGCATCAATCCATGTCGGTACTCGATGCTTCTTCGTCCACGAATACTACGAGACGCCGTCGTCGTGCCGATCCAAATTCCGCCTCGTCCAGTGTTTTGCAAATGAGTGTATCAGGCGGAGGCATGGACGAATCGCTGCAACTACATAATGTCATGGAGGATTCCTTGGCCATGAGTCCCGACAATTCGGGCCGCTTGGACGACGATGATGACAACAGTGACAATGACAATAATAGTGACAGTGACGACAAGCCCAAACGAAAAAAGAGCATTTACGGATTGGGCATTTTATCAGCCGCCAATTTGGACAAACAACCCAAAAAATCGTTTCTTGGTGCAAGCAGCAGTAAATTCAAAACAACAAGCACAACATCCCCCAGTGTCTCGCCGTCTCCCGGACCCATTGTCAAGGTCCAATTTATTCAATCCGGTGGCAAGGTCATTCCTGTGACACAAGCTGCTGCCGCCACCAGTCCTTCCGGTAGTGCCGATCCAACCAGTACACCCAAAAAGGCCAAGAAAAAATTAACGTCCTTATTGGCGGGCCTGACCAAAGGTCCCAAAAGCAGCAGCAAGAATCGAACCGTCGCGTCCAAATATCAAACATTTGATGATGACGAATTTGGAGGAGGATTTGATGTCACGGACGAAGAATTGGAAGATTCTTGTTTGGATGAAGATGATGATATCATTAGTTCCGCCGGCGAATCCACAATGTCCCGGGCGACCAGCAGTCAAGGAAGTTGGGATGGAGTCGATGCCGCCATTCCCGTGTTGCAATTATAAACAAACAAAAAAGAAAAACAAGAGCAGCCAAGTGTACCGTACAGGACAAGAGAACCGGCAAGGACAGCAACGAAACGACAAAAGAGGAGAAACCTTTCGGTTGGACCGAAATAATCGACCAACAGTGACGATGCCCTGACGACAAATAAATGCCAGAAAGTCTGAGTGACTCAGTCCAATTTGCAGTGAAGATCTCTTGTTGCAGCTCGGAGAGACGCGGAGAGGAAACAAATGCAATTCGAGCGGAAACCCTGAACGAGTGCTCCGACCGTTCTCTCTCGCGCTTGGCTTAGGTACAACTCTATTGTATGTATATTAGCACGAACCATTCGAAAAAAGATCAGGCACTGCGTGCACGGAAGGTTGGATTCAATCATTCAGTACGGTACACGTTTGCTATTATCGAGGCATCGGAAAGAGGAAGTCGCGACTCTCAAATTAAATTTTCTTGGGTGGAGGTGCGAAAATCAAAATCGTGCCGTTTCCAATTTCGTTTCGAAAAACGACCTCGATACAAACGCACCCCCCTGAGTACCACCGACTACCTTGTCTGCTGACGTCCATGATCGTCAAGAAAACGAAAGTGAACACAGATGGTTTCACCGAATCTGCGTCGAGGTCGATGGTGCTTGCTGCTGTCATAATTCGCAGTCCGTGATCTTATTCAAGAACTCAGCAGTCCCCCTTCTTTCAAACAAAGCAAAGCCATGACGACCAAGAAGCACGCCGACAAGAAGCCAAAGATGCGCCGATTTAAAGCCAGCAATCTCCACATGGTGTTGCCTGAAGACACCATCAAAGGGCTCAAAGAAGGAACCATTGATGTAAAGGACGTGGCTGCGGCTCTTGGTGCCAAGCAACTTGATGACAATTCGACGACAAAATTAACAGGCATTCTTAACCACTGGCACCGCGCAGTTGCAACTGGGCTTGCAAAGATGGCATTTGGTGTTCCACCTGGGAATAGTGCCTCAGACCACAGCATCAGCATTGCCATTGTAAAACTTGCAACTGACCTTTTATCAGGCTTGCAAATGATCTACCGCTCATTGAGTGCAGTGGAAGGACTCCCATTCGATGACTTGGACTATTGGCTGGTGAAGATCTTCCAGCAGGAGCATGACCGTTTGCTTTTGAATTTGACTGGTGAGATTATCAATATCACTGGGCACCCTCCGGCATACCATTCACCTGCCTTCAACACATCATTGGACCACTTTGGCTCTATCTACAATGGCTTCCATGGACCCCCTCCTAAACATTTGCATGGTGAACTGCAGGCTGGCCTCCACCATTATCACCAGGCGCAGTTCGCCTGTGGAGGGGTTGCATTTGGCGATGACCTTGCCCAGACCACATGCTGGGAATGTGGTGTTGACAACCAGGATGTTTTCAAGTGCTCAGGCTGTGATGCTGCAAGGTACTGTGGTTCGGAGTGCCAGAAGAAGAGCTGGATAGAAGGACACAAAAGCAGGTGCAAAATGTTGCAGAAGCAATACCAGGTTTTACGGACAAATGAAAAGGTCATCACCAAAGCCTTGAAGGCAGGTTCCATTACTCCATCATCCACAATTGCACCAAATCCACATATTGACATGGCCATCCTCCTCCCTGGTACCGGTACCGTAAAAGTATATCCCAGAACTGAGAGAAATACTGAGAGCCTGTACCTGTGGTAGTGGATCCTACAGGACGTATTGATCAAGGTATCCAACACCAGGCGACACCTGGTGTATGCTGGTTGATCGTTCGTTCATTCATACCAGTGAGCGAACGAAACGTCACGTCCTCGCACATAAGAAAAATGAGGCTCGCACCTCTACTACTCACCGTTAAGATAACGTCGCACCTCTATTATCTCGAAAACTCGAAAAAGCAAAGTCCTCGCTCGCTACTACTAGCTACTACCAGTGCTAGCTAGCTAGAGAGAGTACGTTCGAAAAGCACAAGTCCACGAAATCGCTACCGGCACGAAAAAGCACAAGTCCACGAAAACGAAAAAGATCAAGTCCATGCATGTAACAAACTCACTATAAGGCATGGCTACCATGCTGATTAAACTAAGGTCAACTTTACTGAGCACGAACAATGCAAAGATCCTCATGCAGACTGCCCATAATGGTGTCCTGCTTGATGGCAGCAGTAATATTCAAAACACTTCCTTTGTAATGCTCCTCAATCTTGGAGATGACCCAAGCTGGCATTGACAAGTGTAGCCATGAGAGTCCAGAGTGGCTTCCTCCTGGATAGGTTGACTTGCAAGCCCTGATATCATCACAGTGAAGTTCTTGGCTGGCTTGTTGCCACCAATACCATGCATCCACTCTTGCCAAGCAGAGCCAACAGTTCTGTACTTGGCTAGCTTGGCAGGCCTACTATCAGCAGGGTGGTGGCCACAGCTTGTCTGTACCTAGGCTAGTCTGGCCATTCCGGCGAGTCCTTTCCACAGTCAACCATTTCTAAAAAGATTACATCTACCTGATCAGGTGTTGCCATCCTTGGAGGCTGAACAGAAATCCTAAAAAGAATACAAAAATACATAGTTAGCAGCAGTAATAGCATAGTTGCAATAGCCAACAGCCACAAGTCCACACTTACCTGCAAATATTTCCATTGATTTTCGTCAGCTCCGCGCCAAGCCAGTCTCCAACCAACCTTCAAAGCAGCAGCCGAACTTCGCGGGTCCTACCTTCTCGCATGAGCTGCTGGAGTGGTTGTGCTGCGCAATAATCCTTGTCAGAATCTCTTCGTTCGTTCTTACCTGTTGTTGCGTTTGATAGCCGTCACCTGCCGAACTGATTGGCAACTTGACGAGTGTTGCCTGGCCGGTCGTTCCCGTAGTGCCGCCAGTCGTAGTGCCCCAGCCGTGCCACCGCCACCTCCCGTATCCATCGGCTGATTTCGTTGATGTGGAGCTTGGTGTTGTGCGTCCAAATAGAGAGAGCACTTTCACCACAGGGTTGACGCCAACAGGAACATCGCCTTGATGCGCTCGTACGCATCTGGATCCTAACACGAACGGGAGGTCCATCCTCTCCTCCCAAGATTCGTCAAGAGCAGCCCACAAAAGAGGCAAAGCCAAGTGAAGCGAAATGTCGTTGACACCGTCGTAAAAGGCGTGTGTCCTTGGCACCACATGCTCAATCAACCAGTCGGAGTCACTCTCTTGGCATCCGGGTGTAGCTTGTAGGCAATAGGAGCCCCATGCAAAGCTTTTCGGCAACACGAGCGTCGATCCAGGGCTGTCAGGCGAAATGTAGGCATCAACAACCCGTCCAGATAAGCGAGCTTCCAGCGACCTCGAATGTCAACTTCGTCAGCAGTAGCACCCATCCCCTTGCCAGAGTTGCAGCAAACTTCGAATGCTGTGACTCCCAAGAACACCAGCAATGAGGAGCGCCACGGCCAGAAATGGAGCCGACAAAAAGACAGCCTTAGAATGTGCGGTAGGCTGCGTTGCAGTGCTGGGAGCCAACTTAGGATCGCTTTCGGGAGTAAAAGGAATGCATCTTCCCGACCAGCGGCGCATACCCGTAGTTGAAGGACGCCTCCATGTAATTCGCCAATCGAGCATAGCACAAAAGTCGGTATCCATCGACCCAAGAATGATTTGGTCAGGGCATTGTCGTTCTTCCGAAATATTCTTGAACCAATGCCCTTGCAACTGAGCGCAAAAGGAAGTCTGGATGCGGCTTGTAGTCGGAATACTTCAACTTGGAGATGTCGTCCGTCCTGGTGATGAGATGGACTTGCTGCTCAACATGCAGGCTGTACGGATGGTCATTCAAAGCTCCCTTTGCGTAGAGTTCATGGACCACCTTGCGATACTCAGTTTCCGTCAAATCCCTGGTGGCACAGGACTTCTTGCCGCGGTGTTGAGTCTCCGCTTTCTTGACTTCCTTGACCACTTCGTTAACAGGATCGGACTTGGTTGGATTGCCGAGGTTCCATTCCATGTGGACCTTTGATGGGCATGTAAAAGGAAATAGCCTTCTGTCTTGCTCAAGAGTAGAGAGCGGCAAGTTGGATTCTGCTCGAGGTCTTTGAAGTCAACATCGTCGTACCATACGCACGCCATTTCAAGTAGTCGGCAACGTGGTGTGGTGGATGCCGGCCAAAGCACTAGGTGGAAGCGAGCCGCCTTGGTGTATGTCTCTTGTGCAGCCAGCTCATGAATTGACGAAGAGACGATGGTAATCCGGTTGTACTTGGGCTGTCCGTGGGTGCTTCAGGCAAATCCGGCACGTCCTCCAACCCAAAGGCTGCTCCAGCATTGGCCATGGTGGAGCAATTCTTTGGTCAACTAAGCAATTGTTGGTTGAGCTGGAATTTTGGCAGAGTTCCTTTATAGAGTTGAAGGATTGAAAATAATGAGGTCTGAAATGAAGAAATGAAGTGCTAGCTAGCTACCGGTAGCTACCGATCGGTCACGGGATTTCTGCGTTGTTTGCCTCTTACTTGAGTATACTCGAACGTACCAACGGTTGGATCGGAACGATCCATTGGATGTCATTGGATTCGTGGGAATGGAGTAGGTATGTTCTGGCACACTTAAGCGATTATTGGAATCCTCTCAGTATGTGGATTGGTCTTATGTATACAGGCGCCCCTGTTATATCTTGGCTGTTGCAGTTTATTTAATAGTGAGAGTCTTATTGAGAGGATCTTTGTTTCAATGACTACTGATACCATAGACTTTCTACGTAGCATACTGTACTGGATCCTGAGAGTATGTAAGATCCACTAAGTAGTAGTGTGAAGCACATACTGACCCTGTGCAACTACTGTTGCAGAAATGTAGTACCGGTACAGTACGGATCCCTGTAGAAGGGGTGAAATGACATGAGCTCCTCAATGTCGACGCTCCTATTACCAGCACTACTGGCTTGATCTTGTGCGTTTGGATCTTTTCGCGGAAGAAGACAAACTTGCATCTGTGAGCTACACTTCTGTCGTGAAAGTAGACACCTCTTTGTATTGCTACTAGTACCGTCGGTTGCGTCCACAGGAGTTTGAGACTGTTGCTAGGCATCTGTTGACCTCTGAACTAGCAAGAGAAATTTTCCTTCAGACCCCTAATCCTTGTGGAAGTGCCGAAAAAATGACAGACTCCACGACAAAGAAGGACGATGATCCCATTCCGCTTCCCCTCTTTTTTGCCAAACCATGCAAAGACCAAGTGCGCATGTCTCCCAATGGCAAATGGCTGGCATATCGATCCCGTGACAAAAAGGGTGTCTTGAATTTGTGGTTGCAAGAGATTGCCACTGGCCAAGAACGACAATTGACATTCGAAAAGGACCGAGATGTGTGCATCCTCTACTGGTTCACATATGACGACGAGACCATTGTCTATCTCAGAGAGCCACAACAAGGTCTAGAATTGTACCATTTGTACGCCATTGACTTGACGACGAAGACGACGACATCGGCCACACCTCGCGATTTGATCCAAGACAGTGGCACCACGTGTGCCATGGGCTTTGCCGGGGGTCTGCAAGTGTGGCTGGATCCACAACAGCCACGTTACGTCTACACGTCCACGGCTCCTTGTGGCTTTCGCAGTTCGTTCTGGAATATATCTCGACTAGATATTGATAGCGGCGAACAAACAATCGTGGCGGAAAATCCACTGGGCACCTCTTGGTTTGGATTGATTTGGTTCGTCTTGCAATGTCTTGTGGCAGCCTTGCTTCGCCTGCTGGGTCTGGCCACTGTGGAAGATCAACCCAGAGCTACCGTGCAATGGTTTCCAGATGCCGAAATGAAGTTTCGAGGGCGTCTCGAAATCAGTCTAGTCGATCTCTCTTGCGGCTGGAAAGTCACGACACCAGACGATGACAGCAACAATAATTGGAAGCAATTGTATTACGTGACGTGGGCCAACGGCAATCTCTCCCTGGTGGGATCCACGGGTGGTAGTGGAACGGCCCATTTCAACTTTTCGCCCTGCAACAAATGGGTCGATCTGCATGTCTGCAACAAGGCCGATACGACTAGTTGGGAGCGCTTTGATATGGCCCAAGGAATCCATGTGAAGCAGCTGGCCGTTCATGCTCAATCGGACATTACTGGATTTCTCTTGCATCCGAAAACACGGGCTGTACAAGCAGTCAAGTTCAACTACGAGAAACCCTCATTGGAGTGCCTATCTGACGACTGTCCCGAGCACGTCACGCGAGACATTGCTGTCCTCAAAAAAGAGTTTCCCTCCGCATCTGTCTCCATTGTCAGTCGCACCTTGGATGATTCCACTTGGGTAGTTCATGTCCAATCTGATGTCGGGTTGCCGCAATGTCTGGGCTCTCCCAGTGGATACTTTGTCATGTATCGACATGCCAGTGACGACGATGATGACAAGGAACCATCTCTGGAATTCCTCCTATCACCTCATCCGGAATTGAACAGCAAGTACTCGTTGGGTACCATGCGAGCGGTGCATATCCCATCTCGCGATGGTCAGGATCTACTCTGCTATCTCAGTCGACCCGCCGATACGACAAGTACTACCAAGACACCATTGGTATTGCTGATTCACGGAGGACCCCAAGCCAGAGACATTTGGCTCTTTCATCCACTCTGTCAACTCTTGTGCAATCGAGGCATGACTGTTTTACAAGTCAACTACAGGTAAGTCATCCAGACGGAACTGTGTGTCCCGCCCGCCATTCTTGTGATATTGCTCACACGTGGCATACATGATCCCTGAAAGAGGATCCACTGGCATGGGAACCCGCTTTATGAAGTTGGGTATGGATGGCGCCTTTGCGACGGGTGTTCAGGATGACATTCAGGACGCCGCTCGTTACGCCGTGGAACAGGGTTGGTGTCTCCCCGATCGCTTGGCCATTATGGGAGGGTCCTTTGGAGGATACTGTGCTCTGGCAGCCATTACGTACAGAACCACAATCGACAACAATAGCGACGACAAGTCTGTTTCCTATCAGTGTGCCGTGTCCATTTGTCCGCCGTCCATCAATGGGGCTGCTAATCCCCACAAGGCATTCTATGGGAACCCCTTGATTGCTCGCTATTGGAGACAAGTGTTCGGGAATGAGATATCCGACAATGTGGAAGCGGCCAAGCGAGTGTCACCCTATTTCCACATGGACAAGGTAAAGTGTCCACTCCTGCTGTTGCATGGACAAGATGATCCACGAGTGCCTATTCAGCAAACCAATGACTTGTTTCAAAAGCTACAAGAACAAACATCATCCACCGGCAGTAGCGAATGCGAATATGTGCGTTTTGCCAAGGAAGGACATGGGATTCAAAAGGAGCAGAACGTTTTGTACATGTATCATTGTGTGGAACGTTTCCTGTGCCACCATTTGAAGTTGTCGGATCCTCCAACGTTGGAAGATTCTTGGGTGCAGGGGCATACAGGTACCAAAGTGTCACTTGGATCCGATGCAAAAGACAAGAAGGTGTAATGCAATGTAATCCCTCGAACCTTTTTCAAGTACATGTAAACTAAACTAGGGCTAAGAATAAGAACACTATAGTCCTATTGATATTATTACCTAAGATGCTATTCACACACTACTACCGGTAGACGGGCACTGTATTCTGTAGTCATCCAAGTCGCAAAAACGCGCAAGAGGCAGTTCCGTTGCCCCCGACACGTTTCCTCCTCAAAACACAAACAAGTGGTGTCGGTACCAGTACGTACGTTCGGGGCAAAGGCCCTTTCTCACTCACTGTAATCGAAGATGATGCCCGAGAATACATACATGTATCCTAAATATCAACATGAGCTCAACATGTACGAACGCTGCCTCAATTGCTCTCATGTTTGTACTCATGTGGCATTGCTTGGTGTCAAAGCCGTGGCATTCCCCGCTGCGTCTTCCATCGTGGAGCGTGGAGAAGGTAGCTGTTTTGACGCCGGGCGACAAGGTGTCACCTGCAATTCGACGTGGTCGAGCCACGTTTTCAGAAGGTGTCAAAAGGCCGTTATTTTCCTTGATTCTCATTCCTTCCGCAACAGAAGATCCAAAACCGAAGCCCAAAGCTGCTGGAGGACACCACAACAAGCAGGAGTGTGCGGGTTGCCTTGAATGCGATCCAAAGGGCTCCATTGATCCACAACAAATGAGAGCACCCCTGGCTCAACCGATTGTTTTTATTGGTGCAAACCGCCACATTTATACCCAGCAACGTTGTCTGGAAGAAAAAGGAGAACAATCCTTTCAACTGATTGATCGCGAATCAAACCGTAATAAAGACCAATCTATCAACAACTCAGCCACCCATCAGCATTTTCAGGCACTGGTACGCACGACGAGGGCGATTGCTTGATTGTGTTATAGTCAAGACAAGAAAGGAAATTCTGTTGCTTGTTGTTATATCCATTGCTGCAACTGCACCCAACCAAACGCTGCCATCAGTCCTTGATCTGATTGACACCCTCTGCTGGATAGTAGTATACAATAGACAAGGGAGTCAAGTCACCAACATCCGATCATAAAAACGACTGATACTTCTTTCTCCCATCTTGCCTGCATGAATGCCATGAAGGAACAAAGGAGTCAGTAAAGGTCTCATTTGTTTCACTCGCTCATAAAACAACAATTCAACGCAAACTCATCAGAACAACAAGGCAAAGGAGTTCTCAAAGTACCATTATCATAGCTAGTAGCACTCCCGCCTCTTAAAAGAAGAAAACATCACCACCATGAAGACAGTTTCCATCCTACAGTACGATCGTGACCAGCATCAGTTCTACCCATCCTTTGTCATTCAAGATGACCATCAAGATAACGACAACGAATGTGCCTTTGACGAACTCATCATTCAACCGTCGCAGGAATGGATGGACGACTACTTGCAGTGGAATCGCTTTGGTAGACTTCCGGAAGATCCAACAGAGGACTTCCTCGACGAAGAAGACGACCCCACATCCTTTTCCATCCCCATTTTCGAATCGGTTCGGGACCTCCACGACTTTAACTCCCGCGGACAAGACCTAACACGACGACTCGGGGAGGAACTGGCACGGTCGGGGGCAGCAGCATGTGCCATTCGAGTGGCTCCCTATCGTCCGCTCTATTCCAACATTCGGGTGGGGCCCGTCGCGGCATGGTGGCACGTCAAGGACTTTAACTATGGCTTTGTGATACCGGTCCAACGACTGCCCATCTCGAACCGACTCAAGGCGAGACTCCAAGCATTTCGATGCCACAAGGGGATCGAGTTTTGGCAGAGCGACGACGAAAGCGACGACGAAGATTGTCGATTGCAACATTTGGGGGAAGAGCGAAACGAACTCCAAGAAGATCTGATCCGAGAGCTTTGTCAGTACGACGATACTGCTGTCGCTGAGAAAGGCAAAAAGGCGAAAGGTGAGAAGTGTTGTGCCACCGAGAAGACAAAGGCGGTGAATCGAGTCGATTCTCTTGCTAGCCTTGGCGCTCTTGTTGCGGAGTCTTGCTCGTTGGTGGTCGCAGTATCTCCTCCTGTCGAAAGGGGAAGTTGGTTTCCTTGCACTCAGTCTCAAAGGGTCGCTTAAGCCGTCACGTTGCAGCCCGGTCCTCGCATACATCATACACACTCTCGACTCTATGTTGATGCTTTAAAACAAGCATTGAGTCAACACGGGCGCACCTATCTCGAATTCCGACATCCATATTGTACAAGCAAGAACTAGATAAACATCCAAGGTATAGAATACGGGTAAAGTTATAATAAAGCCATCCTACATTCTCTATGATTCAAAGGTGGAAGACTCGAAAGTGTGTAGCGGTCGCCTTCTTTGTTCGCCTACGGTACTTGCCCTGCCTGTGCGGTACTACATCCCAACACTGGCTAGCTAGAAAGAACGTGCCAACCATTGTGCCTGTAGCAACTAGTTGCTCCGTTGTCTGGCATTGCCTTGCTCCCACTGCTGCTCAAGGCGACTCAAAGCTCGTTCCACAGGACATTCCAAGAAGGCCTGTCGTATGGCATCCAATACATGATCGTCACGTTCGGGTGGGCCGTTTTGCCTTGGCGGAATTGTGGCTGTTGGTGGCGAGGAACGATCCACTTGGACATGGGATGGTATCCCTCGCAGCCAGTCGTCGTAGAGGAGCGCAACGTTGTAACAACAAGAAGAAGAGACGCTGGTATCGCCTTGCTTGCACCACGTTTTGGAAAGCTGAAAGGATACTTGATGCAGTGCATTGGAAGCTGGCGTCGTCACGGATGCTACTTTGACATGACCGCGGCAATCGTCTGCATCACAACGACATGGTTGCTGTTGTTGTCCTTTTTGCATGAGGAGCTCCCAGCTGTGTTTTCGTTGTTCCCAAGCAGAGCAAGCTCGATAGCATTGTCGACCAAACCGCCCCAGGCGCTCCTGCAGCATCTTCATGACACCAGCGTTGCTAGTCCATTCTCCCCCATCAAAGTCCCCAAGGCCAAAGAGTGTCCCTCCCAAGGTAGCCATGGCGATATCTGCCAATGGAATGGCCGACGGGATGGTGTGTTGTGTCAACCGCAGACACAACTGTGGAAGGTTCTTGTTCTCATGAGTTGTTGTTTCTTGTTGCGGTGTCTCTTCCTTACTTTCGTCCCGATATTTGGAATCACTCTCATCAATCTCTCGTTTGCGCCGACTCGTTCGTTTGGCTTTAGCCCGTGATTTTGGTTTGGGTCGCTCACTTTCATCCTGATAGTCCGAGTCACTGTCTTGTTTTCGGCTAGCTTTTTTGAGCTGTATTGGTTTCAGTCGGCGTTTCTTCCTGATATTGTAGCTCTTTCTGTGTTTCGTCTCTCTGGATGAGGGTTGTTTGGGATTCTCTTCCTCACTGCAATCGCTATCATCATCATCATCATCATCATTGTCCGAATCACTCTCCTTCTCAGAGTCTCCTTTGCGGTGTGTACCCGCATGTGTTGTCAATTTTGGTTTCTTCCTGGCATTGCCCTCCGTTGGTGGCGATTGTTTGGTTGTCTCTTGATCACTGGAATCACTGTCATTTTGCTCCTCAAATTCCCCGTCCCTTCTCTCTTCCTGACCCGTCTTTTTGGTCTGTGTAGTTGTTGTTTCTGCCTTGGTAATATTGCCATGTTCTTTCTTTTCGTTGCTGGTAGCCATGGATGGATCGACCAGGAGGATGAGATGAAAAAAGACGTGATAGGAAGCCACGTAGGCTCCATCGACGCAAATATCGAATCGAATGGACAAGACTTCGGGGTCGTCCACTGGAATTCCGGTAGTGATGCCTCCCAATCGAGCCGCGGCCGTCAATTTGCGTTTGTTGCGTACTTTCTGCAGACTTTGGACAAAGTTGCTGCTACGACGGATAGTGGTGTCGTCATTGTTGTTGGCCAAGGGATTTGAGGGGTCCGAGGATCTTTTTTGGTTGTTATTGGCGTCCAATTTGGATCCAACTTGGGCAATTTCCGCCGCCAAGGAGATTCGTTTACTGCGCAGACGTTGCAATTTTTCTTCCAACAGCTGTTGCTGGATGGAGATCTTTTCTTGTCGTTGTTGTCGGTATCGCTGTCGTCGGGATTCCTCATGCTCTTGGGAAGATCGCAGCAAGGGATGCTTCCATTCTGTCGGCTGTGGTTGTTGCTGTTGCTGCTGTTGATTCTTGGGTGGCAACAGAAACGAGGCCAAGAATCGTTGGTGACTGAGAGACACCAAAGAATTTTTCTTGGACGACTTTTGGGTTGTCTCGTCCATGACGCCGACACTCACGCGGCGAGGTGAAAACGTTTGCCAACCAAACCACCCAAGAAGGCGATGCGATCCTTCAATGGTAGGCTTGAAAGACAGACTACGAACCTCCTTCTTCCAATTACAGTATCAACAATACCTTGCCCATCATGGCATTCGAGACGGCAACATCATAGCGTGCTCGCACACTTGTGCTTCACCCTCTCTTTCGTCTTGTACGACTGTATAAGAAATAAGCTAGTTGGGCTGGGCTGTATGCTAGCCAGGTGTTGGATGGTTCTCTTACCTTGGGAGGATCTTGCTCGGCCACTGGTCACCTGCTAGCTAGACTACCAAAGTTCGCAATCTAGCTTGGATCCAATACTGTACAGCCATTGCATTGCAAAGAAAAACTGTCCTCTCCTTGTTCTGCTTTCTTCTATTAAAAAGTTCAACTCAGCTCCTCGTTCCACTACACTACACAACACAACCATGAAACTGGAAGATATTCCCCTCGTGCTGCCACTGGCAGAATGGGTTTGGGGAGCCGATCCCACAGACAGTGTGTCTCCAACGGTTTGTTTGGATCTGGTGCCCTACGGTTTGGGGACATTCTTCAGTGGAGGGTGCTTTTCCGTTCTCTTTGCCAAGGCGCTGGGTGTGTCAATTATTCTGGGAGCATGTCTCAACAAGGCACCCGTCATGGTCAATATGTGGAATTCTCAGTCCGGGGCTGGATTTTCCAGACTCAGCATGTACATGGAGACTGTGGTCTATGCCAATGGCGCTGCCTATGGCATGCTCGAACTGCACCCCTTTACGGCCTACGGCGAAAATATGGCACTCTGGTTGCAGAATTTAATTCTGATTGGAATGATTTGGAAATTTACCGACAATCCATTGGTACCCCTGCAAGAAAAAATCATGGCGGCTGCTGGATGTTTTGTCTATTATGGTTTTGTGATCAGTATCCCTGTGGATTTACGATACTTATTGCAAGCTTCCAATGGTGTTATTTTGATGGTGTCGCGAGGAGCTCAAGTGTTTGAAACCTACAAAGCTCAACACACGGGGGCACAATCCATTGTCACCAATTCACTGAATCTGGCGGGAGGTTTGGCACGAATCTTTACCACCATGAAAGAAACAGGAGACATGGCAGTTCTGTTTGGGTTTGCCGTCAGTGTGGCACTCAACTCGGCCATGTTCGTCCAGTACTTTTTGTATCAGGCAAATACCGAAAAGTTCTTGGCAGATCTGCAAGCACAGAAAAAGGCAAAGACAGAATAGTGGAGCAAAAAGGCAGCCAACTGTCTGGACTCATACCGTATCCTCGTCTCGCTATCCACAATTGTTCTGGAGGCAATACTTGCTTGGACCATAATGTTATCCACCAGTAGTTACTGGTACCACTTAGCTGGTAACTAGAAAGACTACCAGTAAACCGTTCCAGCTGGAAGAGATGGATAAAGAGATCCACATTATTGTTGTAGTACGGTATACGGTTCGATTTTATTTACTTTTGATTTTTGGTAGGTCATCGCTACTCTTGGGCCCTCTGACTGTAGCTATGGCAGCAACATGAAGTAGGGCCCACCGAGGAGATAATCCAGTGTAACCAAATCATCCCAATTGGCTCACTGTCGTGAAAACAGAAACTGCTCTGAATGTGTATAAAATGCTGCCATCAATCCATCTAATTTTGTTTATTGTTTAATTGGCTGCCTCACCGTCATCCACCAAACCAAGGTAATTGTCTTTGATGGTACCGATGGCTGTGATATTGCCTGATTCTACGGTCCGACCCTTGATTTTGAGACGTACACCACAACCTGAGGAAATAATCACTTCCTTATCGTCACTGATCCATGCATCCTTTTCCCCATCATATCCATTGAACATGTCTTCTGGCATGGAATGTTTGGACACAAAAATACGAAGTGGACCCACAAAGGCAAAGAATCCTAGCGAGTTGCACTGTGACACGGTGGCATCTAGCACTTCGTTGATGAAGGGCCGCAACAACAGTGCTGTGTATTTCACAGTGAACACCACATCCCCTGTATCGTATTCAATAATCCCAGATTTGATTTGATCTTCGAGTACCTCAATCACATTTACTACATAGCCATAGGTTGCCAGCGCCTACATGTATACATGGTGACAGTTGAGAAAAATGAGACGGTTTGGTAGACTGGATCCCATCAAGCTGAGCCGCTGTAAGCATGGCTGCACATACCAATCCTTCTACTTCTTCTTTGAGTAACCGGACAATGGTGGCCCTGAGTTTTGGTCCAAAGTACACAGGCTCCAGCACAATCTCGTGCTCAAGAGTTGTCACGTAGAACATGGTGGACGAGACAGGAGATTGATCTTGTGGTTGTTGTGACAGAGTGGGAGAGCGATTCGACTCGATTCAAGACAGATCTGCCATGCTGCGCGATTGGATATCAAACATGCGGTACATTACGGTATTAATACGGGTAGCACGTTTCGAGGGACTTTTCAAAAAGCATTAGATTTCACTAAATCTGCTTCCATATTAAGATATAAAGGCATTTTTTAAAGGATAAAGAATGAAAGCATGAAAGAATTAGTAGCGAACGAACCGGCAGGTTTTGTATTGGTACAGTAGTGTTTTACACAGCCCTACACAGACCGACCGTTAAATACAAAACCAGCCGTTATCGTTCCATTCGAAACGAACCAGCTACTTAAGGACGGCTGTGCCCCATCGGTCTCCGGCCTGACCATCGGGCTGTCGGGCTGTCGGGCTTGCGTACCATGTCTGGGCTGTAGCCATGCATGGATGCAGCGCAACCCACCGACAGGTACAGTCGTACATGTACCTGGTACGGTGGACATGTAGCAGAACGACAAATGAGGTTTTTAGTTTAAAACAGCCATGCCAGCCAGTGCCATGAGCCTTCAGTGGATAGCACGAAGCAGCAGAGGCCGAGACGCAACCTGACGTGCAGTGCATGCTACCTGCCCATGGCTGATGAAGCCGCTATAGCCATCCAGGCAGTCCGTTGCACCATGACGTTGGACCTAGTAGTACGGTGGGGTGCCAAGTGCAGTATCATACAGTACGGAAAGGGGAGGAGCGAGAAGCTGTAGGAGAGTTGCAACCTTGGCGGCAGGATGAACTGATCTATGCAAGCCAAACAGCTCCAGCTTCAAGCTTCGCTTGAATCCGCTTGGACAAACCACCTGCCTGCCTGGTTATCTATCTGGAGACCGTAGGTTGGTGATCTGTGAACCTCGGGCGATGGCGATGGCTGCTTGTTGGCGCCGCCTCTTCTGGTAAGGAGACTCCTTGGTGCCCATAACTTTCCGGCAGATCTCTAGCTTCCAGAGCCGGAGCTTCGGATTCAATTTCCTTTGTTGGTTGTAGGGGTCTTGATTGGCGGAGCCATCTGGTTACATACAGGTCTCGCTTCACCTCAAAAAGCAGCCAACTCCCCATATTCGGTCAAAAAAGGCAACTCAAAATAAAACACGTCTCCATCTCAACAAGAACAAATAGTTGAGATTCCAATACAGTGCCCATTATTAAACAACAACTCAGCTACTAGGATTTCTTGTTCCCCTGATTCTTCGCCTTATCAACCTTGGACTGAAAAAGGGCATGTCGAGCTCTGAGTGTGGCTTTGGTAGGAAAGTTGTCTCCAGAAAGGTCCAATACGTTCGAACGGTATTTTGCAATGCCATATTCCTTTATCTTCTTTTGATGCCTCTCAGCATCAGACACACAAAAAACGCCATTCTCATTCAGACACCAAAGATAGGAATCAAAGGCCTTGTGCAGCGTCGACTCAAGGAGCATACCATTACAAGTATCGTAGATGCTGCATATCTTAGCCTGCTCCAAAACACGTTTTTTTGCTGCCACGGGAATGATGTGCGCGGCCTGTACATTGCCACTTCCTTCTCTGTATTGTGTTCCAGACACAACACACTTTCTCTTGTCCCTAACAAGCAATGCTGCTTGGAAAACCTTTTGGATATGCCCTAGAGTGGAGGTGGATATGGAGGAGACATTGGATCCAGAGAAAGGTGCAGCAATCTCACCAGGGAATCCTGTTGGGGAACCATCAGAACCTCGTTCCCAAGCCAGTACCGCTGGCGTATTAGAAATTTGTATGAACTCTTCAAGGTCACTGTCCCCCTGAATCTTTTTGCGAGAGGTGAGATCATTCCTGTTAGGAAGGTAGTAAAGAGTAACCTTGTCTGAACTTCTGACTTGCCTGTCGCTGCAGATCATCATAAGACTTCGCCAGCAGGTTGTAGGGTAGATGATTGCCCTCACTACTCCATGTGCGGCAGAACTCCAATCTTTGCTGCTGCTTCTGAGCGGGTGCCACCACGATCAAAGGCTGCGGCCCCGAAGAATTGGAGGGTATGGAATCCCATGCCTTCAAAGCCTTGTCTTCAGATAAAGGTGGTTCGGTGTCGGGGAGGTAGATAAAGATCTCATTCACCGGGGCATGATCGATGTCTGGACTCAATTTTGCTTTTGCTGCCTCTGCTAAGGCATCAATATTCCAGTCGCTTTCCTTACATCATTTGGTTTTTTGACTGAAGTGGGTCGGCCCTCCGGTTCATCCTTTCCCTTATTGTAGTAGAGCTGAACCCAAACAGATGAAGAAGACATGATGGTTGTTGTTGTTGCGCTTTGTTGCAGCGTTCGAACGTTCGATTGTTGTCGCTTGTTGCAACGAATGGCATGGCGTGATACTGAATAGATGGAATTTGTTGTCCGCTGAGGTGTGGTCCGCTACTTTGGCTGCGCGCGTTGCTCTCCACGCCGCCGTTGCTATCCGATCGCCATTGTCGCAATTTTCCTGTGTTAATTTCGATTCGTGACTAAAAGCAATCACATGGTTGCATGGGGTCCTTAACTGAGCCATCTAGACCTAGCTAGCTAGATTCGATTCGATTCGGATTCGAAGGTCCTTGATGTAGCCACTATGCATACTAGCTCTAGGGGGATGAGCGAACTTGCTTACGGGGCTACATTTAGGGGTCGTCAAAGTTCCTCCAATTCAGCACTTTTTTCTTCTTTTGAAGAACCTGGTGGGGGAGCCAGAAGAGGGGAAGAGAAGGGGATCTGGGGAGGAACCGGAGAACCTCTCCGGAGGCCGGCTCATTCCTGCTTTCCGTTGGACACGTCACAAACTAGAGGCTTTTCTTGAGGGAATGGACTGCAGCGTACCGGTATTAGTGATAAATCTCTAGCTATTCGTCTGAAGTATATGTTAAGTCTCTACATGATCGCTTTGTTCTTCAAGACTCAGTGGTGACGTTTGTCTGTTCTTGGCGAATTCTATCCAATCCCGGGAGGAGAAAAATAAATATTTTGAGAGGAGGAGGAGCTAAAATCGCTCCTCCTCGGAGGAGGAACTTTCTTGCCTCTCCGACCCCTTCTTTTCAACTTTCCACGCTCCCCCACCAGGTTCTTGAAAAGAAGAAAAAAGTGCTGAATTGGAGGAACTTTGACGACCCCTATTGCATTGGTTTGGTATGGTCAAAGTTACCGGTCTATTGAAATAATGGAGCAATTGACTTAATTAATATCAACCCAAAATGTCAGTTAAAAATAAATAATTCGCATTTGGCTGGAAAATGAGTTCAATTGGATTGGATTGGTTTGAATTGGATTGGATAGATTCAATTAGATCCATGAAAATACTGTTATTTGTATAGTAAATACCAATTCAATTCAATCCAATCCAATTCAATGCAATCCAATGCAATCCAATGGAACATAACCTGCCAAAGTAAAAGATTGGATACTTTTCGCACAAACTGTACTGCAACGTAAAACAGTAGTATGTGGAATTCACAACTAAACTATCATTTCTACGGTATAGAATCGAGTACACTACAGCACTATAGCAACATTTGCCCATATCTGGTCTTGGGTTCTTTGTCTCATTCAGTACTGTCATGGAAGTCCAAAGCTGTAAATAACACATATGCATTAACACCATTATATTCACTAAGATGGGGGTTTTCTGATACCCGAGTACCGAGAGACTTGGAGTGACCCTGTCACGGGTAA